ATGAACACTTATGTATATACAGAAAAGGCCGAGTCATGAAAACCTTCTTAGAAAGGAGATGTGATTTGAACAATTACAGAGGTGGCCAAGAAAGTATAGTTTCCTGATGTTGATGAAGGATTCTATGGGGAGCCATCCTAGAAGAGCATTAGCTATGTCAGACCTAGTATGACTAGGAAGTCACTGTGCCATTTGGAGGATTGACCTCTGTGCTCTTTCTAAAGCCAGAATTTCGGCCTTGGAGATCATCGACCAGAATTCACTCCCAAACATAGCCTTTGGGATACAAATTTCCTGAATAAGTATTGAGATTGTCATGGGGTTTAGAGCGCGTTCATGCAGTCACGATTCAACGAGTGCCATGGCTGATGCTTTCATATTCGAGCAGCTCTCCAGAGTTCAATCTAATACCAACGTGCTTAAGCTTATTTGTCACTGGGATATCACGTCCATAGAGTACAAAAGCTAGAAACAGCTGCTTTTCTGTCACTAAATCTAACAATCTGGCTCTTGGAAAGAGAGAAAGTGAACCGCCAGTCTGAACTATATCTTTCACAGATAGTCAATATCTTCTGCAGGTTTGCTGATACTGGACTAACAATTGCTATATGGTCCGCTTGAGTGAGTGCCATTACTTTGATATCCACGATCACTGCACTGCAGTTTGCTGGACAGTTTCTGTAACAGTTCATCTATGTATAACAGGTAGATTTTTGCCGACAGGACGCTTCCTTGACGGACACCTCTTGATGATGAAAACCAGTATGATCTCGTGTTATTAACAAGGACGCTGCTCTCGATGTACTTGTAGCTGTGCATTTGGGATTCCAAGATGATACAGCTTATATAAAAGTCCTTGGTGCTATACAGTGTCAAACGCTTTTGAACTGTCTAGGAAGGCTACATTGATGGCGTCCATACGTATCATTTTCATTTGTGCCTCAATGTGCTTCCTAAACTCTTGATCGAAATGAAGATCAACTTGGTCGCTTGATACCTTCTTCATATGGTTTGCCATTGTGACACAGATTCAGCACCTTCTGCTTCAAGGCATGCAACATGTGGTTTCTGTTCCCACGTCGCATTAGAGTCCAAAACATCTTCTGATCTAGGTCACCAGTCATTTATCTTTTTAAAGTACTAGTTTTCATACTGTGCTGCCCCCTCCAATAAAGCATATCTAAATGTATCTTTTGCTTCCTTATGGTATATGAAAGAAGTGTGGTCCATTCCTCTGGGTGGCCAGCATTGATCCATTCAGTTCTACAGTTCCTCATGAACTTATGAAAGTAATTAATTTACCTTTCAAGTATAGTGTAAGATATTTCTTAAACTGCTTCTTATGTAAACACATTTCACTTGCTTCTATTAGACTCTGAACTATCTGATCATAATAGGTGTCTATATCATCATGTGCACATCCAACCTATGGGCAAGGAATAGGCCAGATGTGAAACTGCACATGTATAGTCCTGGATAGATGCAGCTTCTGGTGCTTTATCCAATGAATATTTTGTGTAGACAGTTCCTGGGTCGTAATCTGTCGGAGTATATTCATATGAAATTTTGCAGAGAACCGGACGGTGATCAGAGACGTTGAATGGATTATCATATCTTACACAAGCAGTAGCTACTAGTCCTTTGAGATATTCTGAGTTCATTATACAATCAACAGCAGAGACTGGACCTCCATTATAAGCTTGAAAGGTAAATACTGGAACAACAAAATTAGATTGCATGTTTACGGGGGACAGATTTGAACTGGTCAGAAATTTTGACAGAATTCGATCACGACTGCTCAGAGCAGGATTGTACCTAGGACCACAGGCAGTGGCGTTAAAATCTCCCATCACTATTACTCTGCATTTCAAGGAATATGCAACACAAATGCCTTCTAGATTATCCACATAAAAGAATAAAGTTCTTCAGGGCGATTTGGTGGAGGCAAGTAAACACAAAAGAGGTACAGGGAGTGATCCTGTTTAAAGGACAATTCTATTCCAGAGACTTGCCACAATCGTTCCTAGTAGCAGCATTTCTTGCGGTTTGGTAGCTCAGTTGGTGCTCACTGATTGTAACATGATGGGTTTAGAGAGAAAAGTCAGATGTAAACGTAGTTATAGAGCCGTAGAAGACAAAAAAATCAAGATTGTACAGGCAGAATGTTAAGATTCGCGAAAACCTGGTGTCATCAGTGATTTTCAGGGATCTATGCATAAAATTTCAAGACAGTTGTGCCTCTTACGCCTCACAGAGTAGTATTCTCTCGCATTAACGTTTTCATAGTTATCACAGGGTTATATTAAAAAGGGTCATGACACAGCGTTGCGGTTAAAGTGTCCAAACAGGTTTTAATGCCTTTCATTGTTTGAGGTACAGGTTAGATAAAGGGGATGCTAAAAATATACACAATGATTTATGAAGAGAGCAAAGAATGGTATGCAGGGATCTCAATCGCACATACAGTATCTACGTACGTCATTACATTTTTGATCAAACAAGCACAGCATGTTTAGTTGTGTATTTGCAGAGGATAGTTTTACTCCCATTGATCAGATACTGCTCGATTTTAGTGCTGGCTGGCGGATGATAAAGCTTGTATGATGTCGGTGCCGTCCTTATAATAATGACGGATATTTGACATGATGGCGACATGTCTATAGATTTGAATCAATTTTATGATTCATAAGTGACTAAGTTGACTTTGACAGCCCGGGCAATGTGACATTATCTATTGTTGTTTTCAATGCTATTACTTGAAAACTCGACCGCAAAATAAACGTGAAACTTGAATCTCGTCAAGCACAATTGCACATGAATTTTCTAATTATATCTGCATCAATGCATTTTATCGTAAATTTATATAAGAAAATCAAATTAAATGTTTCAATAGATCTGTATGGTTTTGATGTTGCAAATGGGAGGCAGAGCAGATACATGTTTACAACGCACATGTGCATGTATGTAGTTTAATTAACATCGACAACATCAAAATGAGCGAGCGGGATTTTCTATCGATTGCATGAAAATTGTCATTCAAATATTAATGCCAAGTTACTGGTGTGACATATACCTCGGCATGAATATCATGTTGGACATTATCAGTGCTCATTATCTATCATGTATTGCATGTACATGCAGATCATGATATATTGAACGTGTTGTGTGACAAATATAATACTGGTGTGTTCAATTTCAAAATTCAATACCAACAGTACATTTGCGGCAATACCACAATCTGCAACAACTAAGAAGCGTACCTTCTTTTAATACGTACACCAATAGCAAGTTCTTTAAGTGTCTTGTCACTGTGTAATTAATTGGTAATACGCAATAATGTGAAAGCAATTTCAACTGTACACTAAGTTATAACAGTTAATAAGTTAATAACACGCTTTCGTATTTGCTTCGAGCTCACACAACATTCCTGATTCTACAATCTATTCACCTGTTATTTCAATTTAGATTATATTATAATTAAAATAACATGCAACCATTTCTTTTGTTCGCCCCTATGATATTCATACTTCTCTTTATATGTCCGGTGAAGTGTTATGTCAGGTTGTGAAGCATCCAAATTAAGCAAAACATTCCCTGCTGACTCAATCAGTTCAAAATAAAAAAATAACGTCCACACACCCGCGCTCGCCCAGCATTATCAGCTTCTCTGTTACTAATTAAAGATTTACCTTGACTGAGATTGAGAAGTCAGTTAATACTGTTGCCTCGATACTTATGTCTGGTGAGTTTAATCATATCAGTAAATGACTACGATCTGCATCACGTTTGGCTTCAAGTGCTGACATGAGGTTGACATGCCGTAAATAAATGCAATACTGCGCAAAAGAGCAGATAAATTATATGAATTGATCGATGAAAATCAGTGAAGACACAAGGTGTACCCGAAAAGGGTAGACATGTGGAAGACGCATTAGTGACCAAAATAATGTCTGATGCCATTCAGTATTTTGACCATTATGTTTCCTTGTTCTTCAAACTTAGTGCTTAGTAAAAATGAAATTTCAATAGTTGGGTTATGTTAAGTGATCCTTTTTACTGTAGATTCGTATCTCAGCATACACATCATACACCCAATATGAGAAACAATACAAAGCAAACCACATTCAAGATGTATCATATGGCCCTACAAAAACTGAAAGACCATTTGTTTCCGTGTTTGTTCAGTTGAACAATTGACTTGCATTTGCCTGTGTTTGTGAAAGGTGCAACCGGTGGGTCAGGATACGCTCAACTTTTCGCGAACACACCGAAAGTGATTCATATAACATAAGCAACAAACGAAAAGCCATTTCCACAATCAAAGGACATACGTTTACAATGTTTATGAATCTCTATCAAACAGCATCATCAAATAGTGATGGTGCCAGGTGTTCACAATACTCATGCTTATGATATAGCCGAAATGGTACAATGGTATCGAGTTTGTCGCTTTTATTTGTATCATGTACTATGATAGTGTACGGCGCTTCAATTCAGTAAGATCTTCGGAGCACACAGGCATTGTGTTATTGTCATTTTTAGTCAACGTAACACCAGCGGTTTCAGTATAACCTTTAGTGATGATGCTTTCCAAATCAATTACATGCTGACCTGTGACCATGTGATGTGTTATTTCTGGTCCACACCTGTTCGACTAGCTTGATTCCATAGCGTCGCCGCATGGCAGGAGTACTGTTGTGTGGTATCAGGTTACAAATACAAACTTTTTTAATCGCGGGTGCTACCGGTAGAGCAGGTCATGCTTACCCTATTCGCGAACATCATTCACTGATTTTCAGTGACACATTCATATAATTTCCACTGCTATCTTACCCTTTAAACCCAATAGAAACTCGTTGTTATCCGTCGTTGACATTATATATTTATATTATTAATGCATGCTCCTATCTTCACTAACAAGAACAATCATTATGTAATGTACATATCCCAAGACCACTTGGGAAACATCCGATATGTTTCACAAATAAAAAAACCCAGGGTAAACAGAATATGCGAGTGTATTTCAGTCGTTTTATTTTAGTGACCGTCTATGCGTATATGGTAGATTCAATCCACTGCTTTCCTCCTGATGCACTAGCATAGACGCCGGGTGAGTTGGGTTGACCGCAACCATTGCCCCAGCTCACAATTCCTGCAAACATGAAAAGGATAATGTCTCATGTACAACTGATGTCTTCGCGAGAAATTCTGATACCTTTTAATTTAACATTGTAAAGGCAATTGGCTTTGATTACAAAACACCAGAGTAGAGAAACGAACGATCATGAAAAAGTACTCTTGAAAAACACAACAGAAACGAAACACGGTCAATGAAGGATTCAAGGTCCATTTCGGTGTCAAAATGGAATCCCCCTGTTCTTGAAAGTTGTTGTTGACTATTCCACATGGCATGATATATTTTGTGTTTGGCTGTGATGTGAACACATATAGCAGTTTATATTGATTGACATATGTCATGTGGACATTTGCCTGCCAAAGATAACTCAAAGCTTTTCTTATCTAGTTCTTGTTTTTGGACCGTAAGAAGAGTTACTTTCCTTCATACGATTGGACACGTTATGATTTTGCAAATATGTTTTCATTAAAAATGGATATGACAGGATGAAGACTTCAAAACATGATTACAATTACAGTTACACAATTGCACAACTGAAAGTATATGGTGACCCAACGCTGGAATACTGATCTACTGGAAAGTGTGATGTCATTGCCATAAGCATTTTGTATGTATCACTTCTGAGAAATGTCTTGAAAATGACACCTTACCAATTATCTCCATACGATTGTTTTGGAAGCACATCAAAGGTCCTCCGCTGTCCAACTGTAATATATGTTCATTTTTTATCAATCAGCTTCGAAGACAACTGATCGATTCCATAACCTTAGAAGCTTAGGTACAAATGGGAAAGTGAATTCAGTTAATTTCTAATTCACAAATGTAAGGCAGTGCAAAATGAACATGGTGTTAAAGAAATAGTTTTGTTTTGATATTTATTTGCTGTTCTATGGAAAGGTGGGATCGTGAGATATATTTCTGTCACAAATACTTGCGGGTATTGTTGTGACTGGTCACGTGATACTGTAGACATTAAAATATAAATATGTATGCTAACACGAACAGAAAATCTCAGTGTCTACGACATGGGAAACCATAAAATTGCGTTTTCAGATTGTATAGAACAGCTTTAAACTTATAAGGAGTAGTTAATTACATCACATGAAACCTTTTGAATTTTAGTTCCAATGATTCTATATATCTGTTCACCCAGCAGTTCAAAGGCATCTTGCGTTGTATACTAGTACTCCCCAGAGAGCTGAGCATGAAATCGAGTGCAGATATATCCATTGGCTGGGGTCATAATGCATCGTTTTGAGTAAGCTTTAAAGTGTGGATTTGGCACATACATGTATACACATTGTTATTTAATAGACATAAATATGAAACAGATGAGGCGGTTTCAGTGGGTTTTTTTTCTATCTCAGTGGAAGGGAATAGGCTATTTCACCTTTATTGAACGATTGATAATAAGTCATGGTACTTACGGAGCACGAATCTTTTCCTCCTTCTGAGTGGCCTGCACAAATCATTGAGGCTTCATGGAACGGGTTAGAGCCGACTATGTTCCTACATTGGGTTTGTGACAGGACGGGCTTTTCAACAACCCGGAGCTCATCTGATACAGCGCCCCCTATAAGTACAATTTAATATCAGGAAGTGTCCTGTGATTTGATACAGTCACAGTTTATGCGTATGGAAAAAGTTAATATTTGTGTTGCAGTGATGAAATTGTTTAACAATTATTTTGAAAACAGCATATTCCTTCATCCTAGACCACAGTGACATCCTTTAAATTTACTGACAAAATGGAATGTTGGATACGGACATCAAGACTGCCCCTTTGTCCAGTTGCCAAACACATTAACAAGAAGAGTCATTTATCCTCTATATGATAAACTATTTCTTCCCACATCATTGATTTTCGCGAACTTTGAGAACGCCGTTTAACGTCTCAGGATTGTGTTTTCAAAGCATAATGATTGTTATGCTTTTAAAATACTTTCAAAATTTGAAAAAGTAGCTATGCATTCACATTCAGGTATTTATACAATCTTCGGTCAGTATAATGAAACTTTAGACATACCGTACGAGGTATGTCCCCATCCGGCGACATAGCATACTTCTCCTGCTCTACTGACATTGCCCGAAACACACCCAAAGTTGATTTCGGGCTTAGATACTTGTGGGGCGCTACTAAGCTCAATCAGCGCAATGTCATACTCAATTGTAATTGGGTTGTACAGAGGGTGTGACATCAAAGTCTTTACGTCATAGGACTCGGAGGAAGGTTCGTTTTTGGAGAGGTCATGAGCGCCAAGGCGAATCTTTAAGTCTGCCACAGTAGTTTCACTGACAAACAGAAATAATGTCAAAACAAATATTTTTCTTATATATAATGATTCACACTGAACTGGTGCCGAAGATAACGCTCCATTTTACAATATATTTCAAACATTTCATAATCTAGCAACATTCATGATGGCAATTATTTTTAAAACCGACTAGCGAATATTGATTTGTACCTATTGTTTCAGAATACTTACATACTTGTGATTTCTCAAGCTCATGAAAAAGTAGTCATAGTGAGACGGGATAAATATAAAACACGTCTACGACCTTCACGAGTCTGGTGTATCCCCTCACATCATTCTGATATGCCATAAAATGACTGGAGCAATAAAAGAAACTAATTCATTCACTCGCTCACTTACGTAAATAATAATATTTGACATTTATAAAAAGTTGTAACATGTCTTTATATCAACTCTACTATATAGTAGGTTTACGTGTATACAACTTACTACAAACAGTGGGCAGCAGTTAGGATGTACCACCTGTCAGAACTGCCTTTCAGGAGTGACCCACCACAATTAAGAACACCACGCCTTTCGAGAGCAGCCTACAAACATCGATACAGTCAGTGAGTGAACATTGTAATACGTCTTAGTCAACAATAGTCAACAATTACACGGCCAGACAAACCAGAAACTCATAGCATCAGAGCCGATCCCGGCTGTTAGGGTGCAAGGACACAAATTTAACCAGGTCACACATTGTAACGGCCGAGTCATCTTCACATTCATCTAAGTATCAGGTGCTTGGGACATCAATTGCTTCTGGGTCATCAATGGATATATTATAACAACAATTACTACTGAAAACACATGTCAGACCCATGTATGCCCTTCACATGGTCAACGATATGTAGGGCACATGTATATCTTTCAATAAAGATTAACATATGAAACATAGCGATTGATTGATTTAAATCCAATTTGTACTCGTGAATATATTCTATTTCACCAAATAGTTTCTTAGAATGACATGGTCATTGTACCTCCACATGCTAATTGTATGACGATTTTCTATGTCAGTAAAAAGGTTTTCAGTGCCTCATGCTTGTCATAAGAACCGAAAGGTAAAATGAGGATCGGTTGGTCAGACTGTGACGTGGTGAATAGTGTGCCTTTGTTCCCTGATGGTGTGTGTTGTTGTTCATGCTTTCAATCACTTGTTTGCCTTATCCAGACTCAATTGTGTTACAAGCCACCACGATAAGACTGGCATATTCCCACATTATTCATGAAATAGAGCGACATTATTAAATTGTATTTAAATTGTATGTTTTATGCAGTGTGCTCTATCATTACTCATCCCATTAAACCATTGTTCCATATCATGACCGAATACTTCATGGTGATAAACTCATAAAACACAAAATGTCAGTCCATACATGTAAAACGTCAGTAAATACGACAGTATACAGCAGTTCAGCAGTTCAACTTTGGTATTGTCAGCTATTCTGGAATACATGTGGTTCATGAACCTGTCTCTGAAACTTAATACTTCAGCAAAAAGCTAATATGATGTGTTTGTTTGTTGTTTAACGCCGCACTCAGCAATATTCCAGCTATATGACGGCCGTCTGTAAATAATCGAGTCTGAATCAGACAATCCAGTGATTGACATCCTGAACATCGATCCACGCGATTGGGATACGATGACATGCATCAATCAAGTCAGCGAGCCTGGCCACCCGATCCCGTTAGTCGCCTCTTACGACAAGCATAGTCGCCTTTTACGGCAAGCTGAAGGGTTGCTGAAGACATATCTTCATACATATGAATGACATGTTTACACTGTTTAGTTTGTGAGATCCTTCTCGGTATACACTTTATTTACCATCCATGGAAAGGAATGTGGTGTGGCGATTTGTCCACCAACAATGCGATTCCTGGCTGTCTTTGGGAGGGTGGTGTAATCAAAGCCCACATCATTGATTCCACATCCAGGAGGATCTATATAACTCAAGACTCCTGTCAATACAATCAGGAACACATTGAGGTATAATGTAGTTAACAATAGTAAACATAAAAGTGAAGATTTCACGTGAAGTTCAATCTGAGTAAGGTATTGTACATATTAATTTGTGCTTATTCCAACAACGCCTACACCAAATTCAAATTCCACCAATATCAGCAACAAGAAATTATCTTCAAAACGTTGATCCCATGTGCACGTTTGGCTTGTTATTTGTCGGTAATATCAGGGACTGTAGAAAATTAAATATATTGGGGGTAATTATCAGTGGCAGCAAATGATTGAAGGGTCAGTAAAATGTCGAGTGCTGTCGGCGGATGGGAATTGAATTTAGAGTTATTGCCATTGTCTGTATAAACAATGCAGGCTTCATCATTCGAGGGGTTTCGAGTTGGGCCAGTTTCTAGAAGCCTGTACCTATATAAGAGCGACAAGAGGACGATGCGAGGCCTTTTTCGACCAGATGTGTGTCTTATTTTACTTGCGAAGTGCGGATTGGATATTTATCGGAAACAAACACTGAATTCCTGCCAGGTACTAAGACTATTACGGATTCAAGAACGGAGCATGTGCATGTGCCTCTTTAAGGCATTAATTATAATTTCCCCAAAAAGTATTATATATATTTCCAAGTTTACACAAATTTAACATGTTAATGTCTGAAAACATTTCGAATACCTCACAAAATATGGGAATGTTTATTTTCTATGCTAATAATTTGAGAAAAGAAATGTTAAAAATTGTCGGTAGCATCGTTGCAACATGTAATGGGCCGATATATTTAAGATAAGACACAAAACACAAGTTTAATTATATCATAATATTCATATGATATAATTTAATATGTAATATATTTAATATGTATGGTATTCAAATATTACCTTCCTTTTAATTTGTATTGAGATACCAAAGGCACAGGACGTATAGTTTGTGTTGAATAATGTATTTTTGTGAAATAGATTCACACTGCAAAGAAGAAAGAAGTCATACTGTCTTTTAAAGAATGGAAGCGATGGTTCGGACGAATCCTTGATCAGTTACAATAGCTTACCTGATGCAAGACACGCTAAAACGAAACACAGATGTGCTGGCATATTTTTCGTGTGGACACCAAAGCCACCAAACCACTGTAGGACAAGGTGGTTACTAGGTTATTAGATTAGATTAGCAGTGAGTGTAGGTGTTTTTCATAACAGCCGTCACCGAGTTTACTGTTAAAACCACAGGGCATACTGTACTTAGATGTCACAGCAAATAACTTGAAATCCGCAACACGGTATATTATTGAAATGCAAATGTAATATGATAATATTTACTACATTACGTCATCCATATATAATAATCTATTTCGTTGTGAAAAAGTACGAATCTATGTTTTTCATGCCTGTGTCATTGACAAGAAGCTTGAGATATATGTTTCAGGTAACTACATGTACATATACGAAATTCTGTCACAGTTTAAGAGGGATTCGGGGAACTTTTAGTAACATTCAGTAAATGCAGCGCATATGTTTGTACAAAAATATACAGTCTCACATATTTGTTTTTGGAACTGTTTTCAAAGATCATTGGGTGCTGCGGCGAACTGACGATCTCAAAGAAATACCTCTAAGTTGTGTCGTGAATTATTAAATGATGTCTGATGCAATTCCCTAATTTGACTGGTACCTTATGTTCCCCTGTTTTTTCAGGTGAAAAATTGACTTGCCTTTGCATGTGTTTGTGACGGTGCCACCTGTGGGGCAGGATCACTCACCTTTTCGCGAATACCTGGTATCATCACTATTTTCATTAACACATGCTTATGGTGTAGTCTGAATCGCTGATGCTTACTTGAAACTGTTTTCACGAGCTGGAATACAACAACAAGTACAATAGGTTTTGCATACTTTGACGGTCCATTATGAACGGTGACTTTTTTTCGACACCAACACAAAGTCATTGATATCCTTTGAGATACACTCATGTCATTTTTCAGACAGGACCGCAATGGTATCTCAGAACTCTTTTATTACACATCATTCATTCTTGCTACATTGGTGACACTCTTATTGCGTTATTATATAACCCAACATCTACGTCTTTTTTGCCATACGTACCAATACGGCCATCGCGATAACTCATCAAAGGCCCACCGCTGTCAGCCTATAATTAACAAACACGCCTCCAACCGATGAAGCAATCGAAATAAGGGGTAACAGGAAGTGGTCTTTGCGCTGCTTCGAGTAAATGTTCACGTCAAGGACATAGTGTTTCAGGACATTCTTTCTATCGTCTCTGGTCAGTTCCGTGAAGTTGATACTTTATACGGGTCTTTCCTTTCTCCAGGGAGCCTGCACAGATCGAAGATTCGTGGAAGTCGTTGGAGCCATACATACTCATTTTCATCTCTTTGCCTACTGTCTCCCGCGCCGTGATATTGCTGGAATGTTGCTAAAAGCGGCGTAAAACCATACTCACTCACTCTTTACCAACTGGCACTTATTTCAATGGAGCGGGTGATCCTGCTTACTGACAGGGTTAACAGCGTGGCGTTGTACCATAACGACGTGGATTATTGCTCATGAAAATGAGCACTGGATTGTCTTATAATTATCGAAGGGATATTGCTGGGTGTGACGTCAGGTAACAAACAAACGCTTACTATTTTAGTGAAAATTGTTTGAGTGGGGGGACATGCTTACTCTTTTCTCAAACACCTGGTATCATCACCAATATTTAATGATCAATTGATATAATTTTCATCACTATTTTATTTTTTAAGTCCCAGTTATTCTCTGGCGTTGATGTTTTGAATTAACCAGAAATGTGTATCAGTACAAGTTCTTATTTGCTTGCCATCAATTATCAATATTTCATATAAAACATAGGTTTCAATATTTAGTAAAAGATAAAAGAGCTAACTCATTTTATATTGTTTACATTTTGTTGTCTTAGAACCCTATGCTGTGGTACGTGGGCATAAAACTTTCTGGGATTACGGGTTAGAATGTTTCTCCAGCAACCTATGCTTGTCGTAAGAAGCGAATGACTGGATCGGGTGGTAAGGCATGGCGACTTGGTAGATTATGTACCAACGTAAGGCAAAATATAAAATAAATAATATGAATTATTAATGAAAATCAGTGATAATACCAGGTGATGAAACATGTGGAGGACATTTCCAAATTTGACGCTCCAGTGACCATATGTTCTGTAATTTTAAAACATAGTGCTTGACATAATGAATTTTCAATAATTTGGTTGTTTATGGCAATACAAATGGCAAAGACTAACTATGTTTACTGTAGATTCGTATCTAAGTATACACATCATACACCCAATATAAGAAACAAAAAAAAATAAACCACTTTCAAGATGTACCATGTATCCCTGAAATAAAACTAAAACACCATACTATGTTTCCGTGTTTGTACAGGTGAACTGGCCTTTGCATGTGTTGTGAAATCTGGCACTGGTTGGGCAGGATACGCATAACGCATGGCATCATCACTGTTCATGTGTCATCGCTGATTTTCAGTGATCCATTCACATAATTTCTCACTGCTATTTTACCTTTTACGCCAAATAGAATCTCGACGGATATCCGGGGCTGTTATTATTTGTCGTTGTCTAATATTCATATTATTAAGGTTATCCTTCTGTTTTTATTAACAAGAGTGAGTGAGTGAGTTGGGTTTAACGCCGCTTTTAACATTATTCCAGTTATATCACAGCGTGTCAGCTTAATGTGGGAGGAAAACCCGAAGTGATGCAGGTCTAAGACGTTTACCACTTCGGAGAAACCCACGAGCACGGGTATGGTGCTGACAAACCTAGAAACATAATTGGGGGCGAACCGGGATTCGAACCCACAATCATAGGTTTCTGGCGTGCCCAAGGGACGCAACTCTGCACAGCGAATCGCGGGGCCTTAGACGACTGGGCCACCCGTGCCCCCTCATTAACAAGAACAATCATTATGTTATAAATGTTCTTCTCCCAGGGCCATTTAGGAAACATCCGATATGTTTCACAAATAATGAAACCAGGGTAAACAGAACATGGTGTGCGTTTCATTCGTTTTATTTAAGTGATCGTCTATCCATTTATAGTAGCTTCAATCCACTGCCTTCCTCCCGTTGCACTAGCATAGACGCCGGGTAAGTTGGGATGACCGCAACCATAGCCCCAGCTCACAATTCCTGCAAACACGAAAAGGATAATGTCTCATGTACAACAGATGACCTCGCGAGAAGTTCTGATACGTTTTATTGTAACATTGTGTACTCATTGTAAAGGCTACAATTGAATATGATTACAAAACATCACGGAAGAGAAACGTACACTCCAACGAGCATTACTGGATAAGTACTCTTGAAAACCCCAACAGAAACGAAACACGGTCTAAAGGATTCAAGGTATTTATTTAGGACCACTTCGTATAGCAGTCTCAAAATGAATTTGTCCGCTGCTGTTGACAGTTGTTGAAATTCCACATAGCATGAACAATGCAGTTAATAATGTTGAGATTGTCATATTACATATAACGTTTGCCAGCCAATGTTAACTCACAGCTTTTCATATTTGCGTCTTGTTTTTGAGCCGTTGGTAGGGTTACCTTCCGTCATATGATTGGACATGTTTTGATATTGCACATATGTTTTTAAGTAATTGACATGACATTGAAGACTTCAAAACATGATTACAATTACAGATCGTAATCAGATGGACTTGCACAACTGGAAGCAGTATGTGGCCTAAAGTTGGAATACTGATTTACTGGAAAATGTTATGCCATTAACATGAGCATTTTGTATGTATCACTTGTGAGAAAAGTCTTGAAAATGACAGCTTACCAATTATCTCCATACGATCATTTTGGAAGCACATCAACGGTCCCCCGCTGTCCATCTGTAATAAGCGTTTTCTTTTATCAAATGAGCTACAGAGAAACACTGACAGATTCTACCACTAGTCCAATCGTGATACAAATGGGAAAGTAAATTCATTTGATTACTAATTCACAATGTAAAAGCCGTGCAAAATGAACTTGGTGTTAAAGAAATATTCTTGTTTTGATACTTGTTTGCTTTTCTTTCGGACAGGTGGGATCGTGAGACATATTTCTGTCACAAATACCTGCGGGTATTGTTGGTTCTGGTCACGCGATGCTTAATAGTAACATGTAGGCTATCGTTAATAACAAAACTGCTTCTTATCAATTGCGTAAATACCAAACACAATTGGCTACGGGAACAGTAGCCATTAAACACAAAATCTCAAGGTCTACGACATGGAAAGACGTGAACTTCAGATTGTACAGAATAGCGTTAAACACAAAAGCAGTGACTGTTAGAGCTTCAAAGGTATCTTGTGTTGTATACTCTCAAGGGAGCTGAGCATACAAATCGAGTGCACATATATTCATTGGCTGGGGTAATAATGTATCGTTTTGAGAATGCTTTAGGGTGTGGACTTCAATGCACATATACACATTATTATTTAATTCTACCATGAATTTGAAATTTACTCGATTCTGATTGGTCAATCAGAGCCTAAAAAATTACAATAAACCCCCTCTGATTGAAACAGCTGGTTTGACGGCCGCATCACTGCGGAAGGCAATATACATAGAATAGTACTATTTTCAGTCATTGTCGGTAGGCATATTTTAATGATTAAATCTACAATTACAGGTTACAAAATGCACAGATGCGGTTACTGCAATATTCAAAGGATGTGTGGCAATACATTTCGTGCACAAAACACGACAGAAATCTACAAAGGGAATGTATTTACGTTTGGAGACAACAAAGAGCTAAGAATTTTGGCGTTTTTCTATATACGACTGTGACGTCATATCTTTTGCGTCACAATGACCCATATGACGTCATAATGGTGACGCGCGATGTAGAGCGAAAGCATTGCAAAGCTTGCTTTGTTTTCTTTAGGGATGCCCACCTCATGGTAGCTTACTAAGTTGCCATGCTTATATGCTTTCAATGCATGTCATAGATTCGAATGAAGTATTACGGTGTAAACAAAATGCTTGAGTATATACAGCGCCATATTTTGTTCGGTGATTCCGTAATTCAGATCGATAACCCACTCAAAACACTGGAATCTACCCATGCCGCTTCACTCAGTATATTTGTTAACACCAAATAGCTCGCGTTTTATTTAGTCATGGTACTCGTAGAATGGAGATAAACATACTGTGTTTTCAATGTAGAGCTAGGTGAGCTGATGATTTAACCGCGCTATATTTAACATTTGAAACCTCACGCTGCGCGTTCGGTTCCAAATTCAATTGAGCGCGGTTAAATCTACAGGTAACCTAGCTCTACATTAAAAGCACAGTATGTTTATCTCCTAATTGACATACATATGAAACAGATGAGGCGGTTTCCCTGGTTTCTTTGTTTCTGGCTCCAGTACCGTGTTTAAATTAGTGGAAAGCAGTGTCTATTTCACTTGCATTGAACGATTACTAAGTCGTACTTACGGTGCAAGAATCTTTTCCTCCTTCTGAGTATCCTGCACAAATCATTGAGGCTTCATGGAACTGGTTAGAGCCGTATATGTCCCTACATTGTGTTTGTGACAGGACGGGCTTATCAACAATCAGGAGCTCATCTGATGCATCGCCTCCTACAATTTATCATCAGGGAGTCTCCTATTATATGGTACAGTCACAGTTTATTTGGTAATAAGTTAATATTTGTGTTGCATTTGTAATTGTGTTTTGTGTCCTAGACCACAGTGACATACTTAAAATATATTGACAAAATGGAATGTTTGATACAGACATTAAGACCGCCCACTTGTCCAGTTGTCAAATACATTGACAAGAAGAGTTATTTATCATCTAAATGATAAACTATTTCTTTTTACGACATCTTTGATTTTCGAGAACTTTGAGAACCCGTTCTTATTTGAAAAAATACCTATGCATTTACATTCAATCATTTATACACTGTCCGTGTAGAATAGTGGACCTGTAGACATACCGTCCGAGGTAAGTCCCCATCCGATGACATAGCATACTTCTCCTGCTCTACTGACATTGCCCGAAACACACCCAAAGTTGATTTCAGGCTTAGATACCAGTGGGGCGCCACTTAGCTCAATCAGCGCAATGTCATACTCTAGTGTAGCTGGGTTGTACAGAGGGTGTGACATCACAGTCTTTGCGTCATAGGACTCGGAGGAAGGTTCGTTTTTGGAGACATCATGAGCGCCAAGGCGAATCGTTAAGTCTGACACAATAGATCCACTGACAAACAGAAATAATGATTTGTAACAAACGCTTCTTTTTTCTGATACCAAAGATAGATGTTGTTTCATCGTATAATATATTTCAAACATTTTATAATCTAGCAACATTCATAATTTCAATTATGTTTCAAACAGCGACTAGCGAAAATTGATTTGTACATACTGCTAAGAATACTTACATGGAAACGTTGGTGTGATTTCTCAAGTTCATGTGTTCATAATGAGACGGGATAAACGTGATACACGTGTATGACATCCATGACCCTGGGTGATCCCCACACATCAATCTAACATGCTGTGATGTGACCCTGGGTGATCCCCTCAAATCAATCTGACATGCTGTGCCATGACTCAAATACAGTTCACAGAGGCGATTCTCGTTCACTCACTCACTCAGTCTTACGTGAACAATCATATTCTATAGTAACATGTCTTTATATCAACTCAAGTAGGTTTACGTGTCAACAACTTACTCCAAACAGTGGGCAGCAGTAAGGATGTACCACCTGTCAGAACTGCCTTTCAGAAGTGACCCGCCACAATTAAGAACACCACGCCTTTCGAGAGCAGCCTACAAACATCGATACTGTCAGTGAGTGAACATTGTATAACGTCTTTGTCAACAATAGTCAACAATTACACGGCCAGGCAAATCAGAAGCTCATAGCATCAGAGACGATTCTGGCTGTTAGGGTGCAAGGACACAAATTCAACCTGGTCACACATTGTAACGGCCGAGTCATCTTCACATTCATCGGTTGTTACGGTGTTCATCGATGAACAATATAAACATGTATAACGTTGCATGTGTATACACAACGGCAGTTAAAAGAACAAAATATCCATTTTTAACTTTGGTGTTGTCCGCCGTTCCGGAATGCATGCGGTTAATTCACCTATCTCGGCTTCATGAAACATGCTACTTCAGCAATGAGTTAATCTGATTAACATTTTTACACTGTGAGATCCCTTTCGTTATACACTTTATTTACCATCCATGGGAAGGCATATGGTGTGGCGATTTGTCCACCAACAATCCGATTCCTGGCTGCCTCTGGGAGGGTGGTGTAATCAAAGCCCACATCATTGATCCCACATCCTGGAGGGTCTATATCACTCAAGACTCCTGTCAATACAATCAGGAACACATTGATGTATTATGTAATGAACATAATTAAATGAAGTGAAGACTTAATTAACGTTCAATCTGAGTAAAGTATTGCACATATTAGGTACAAGTTGTGCCTAAAACAACAACGTCTACATAAAATTCAAATTCCACTGATATTTTCAATACGTGTTCAAAATTTCAATATTTCCTAAAGGTTAATTACATGTGCACTTAATGTTAATGTCAGTATTATTAGTGGATGTTGAAAATGAAATATTTTTGTATTTATCATTGGCAGCGAATGATTGAAGGGTCAGTAAAATGTCGTGTGCTGTTTTCGAAAGGGAGTGGAGTTATCATCATTGTTTACATGAACATGGCAGGCTTCACCATTCAAGAGTTTCGGGACAACCTCTAGAGGCCTGGATGTAGCAATAAAACTAAAGCAACAAAAGCCTTTCCATATCTCATAGAAATCTCTCCATAAAGCTGAGTCGATTGTGCGATTCCGACTATATCATGAGCATGTGTTTATGAATCACTATCACATAGTTATGAGTCCAGGTGTTCGCGAACACGTGAGCGTATCCTGCCTCTAAGGACAAACACGGGTGTTGCCTAGCTCACCCCAATCTTTGCCGCCCATGGGAAGCTGTTAGGAACACCCTTCACAGGAAGCCTTGCTTTCAGGAGGGAAGCAGAGAAACAGTTTGTAACGGTCGTGTTGAAATTCACCTTCCCGTTATTGTACTAAATTCTCTATTGATAACAGAAGCAGATTTGAATCTATTGCATAGTGCAATTTATGTATTGAAATGTTGTTGTACTGGTGTCATTTGTTTAGGTGTGCCACTCCCAGGTCTCATTGCAACCTCACCCGTTTGACGGCACTCGTTCCACAGTCGAGAAATTACACTTTTTGATGTGCCAAACAATAGGACAACTTTGGATTTTGACGTCCCCCCTACCTCTGTTCGCCATTTTGACTGTCCATTGAGTTACTATCTCGGAGGCGTTTCAAAGCGAGTGTGTTCAGATCCATGTCACTGTTTTGTAATCTACATACAAATCATTAGTTCCTTGTTTTTTGTCGGTGATATAGGCTGTGGTAAATTAGCAGTCCCAACAAACTCAATTCAAGTAATTCAAAACGCATATGTGTAATGATGTGTATGAATATATACGTAAATTATTACCATATAGCAGATACACTGTCCCTGTTTGTAACATGGTTATGAACATAATGTCTGCAAATGTGCGCAAGTCAGTGGAGCAGTGTCACTCCAACTTACAGGTTGTTTGTTTGTTTGTTGTTTAACATCGCACTCAGCAATATTCCAGCTATATGACGGCGGTCTGTAAATAATCGAGTCTGGAACAGACAATCCAGTGACTGACATCATAAGCATCTTATAGGTCAAATCATAAATCACTAATCAATGACAACTGAAATATCACACAACCACAGGTAATTGTATACATGGTTGGAACAAGTAATACATTTTAACTGCTACTTTTTAAACAAATTGGATATCGTCTTATCTGACCTGTTTTGTGTGTATTAAGCCTAATATGTCAAATAAGAAACTAAACACAAGTATCATTCTAATTCCGTCATAATAAACGTATGTATGGTATTCGTATTAATGTGATACTCCTTTTCATTTATTCGAGATACAGGAAAAAAGCAGGACTTACAATTTGTGTAGAATTATGCATATTCAAGTGAAATAACTTCACACAACAAAGAAGAAAGAAATCTATATTATCTTTGGAAGAAAGGAAGCGATGGAGTTACTGTCGCAGTATAATTGCGTAGTTAAATCCTACCTGAAGCAAGATACACAAACACGAAACACACAAGTGCTGGCATATTCTTCGTGTTGACACCAAAACCACTGTAGAACAAGGTTGTTACTGTGTTTTCAGATTAGATAAGCAGTGAGCGCAGGTGTTATATAATTGCTGTCACTCAATAATGAGCAACATTCTGACATACCAGTAATGACTCGCTGAGACCATGTTAAGTGTCAATTCAACACAAACGTAATATAAAAATAGTTACTAGATGAGTATCATAATTTATTTCTTTGGGTGTAATAACTTAGTGTGAAAACGCACGAATCTACATTTGGCGTGCAGCAGTCATTGACTATGATAAGAAGCTTGAGGTATGTATTACCACATGTACAAAATTGTGTCATAGTTTGAGAGGGAGGCCGGACACTATCAGTACTATTTAGAAAGTGCAGCGTACATGCTTGTACAAATATTTTCAAAATACGTGTTACCAGACCACAAGTATTTTACAAGTTTTCACAGTTTTTTTAGCAAATAGAATATACATCTTCTATATTATTATTATTATTATTATTATTATTATTATTATTATTATTTACAGATTCAAATAAAAAATGCAGCAAAGAGGGTTTGTGTGATCCTGACACAGTCAGGCTGGTTAGGCTCATCATCAGCTCAGGGCCCATGTCCCCTCTACACGCAGCCCAGACAGCGAATGGGACTTCTCCCTGAAAGCGCTGCCTACTCGAACCCACCGAGAACTTTTCGGAGAATGTGAAGACTCCCAAACACTGCAGCCTTCTGCTTTACACAGATTGTCAGAAGGGCTGTATTCCTGGTAGCAAACCCAGGTACTCTACCAATGTCAGTCAACAGATTGGGAGGTATCAAACCTAAGGCACAGGGAATAATGGGGAGTCGGACAACTTGGGATGCAAACGTGACATTTCGAAAGCGAGGTCCGCATGTTTGCCATGTTTTTTCCTGAATCGTGTCAATGACATAGTGTCAAAAGGGACAACTTCAATAATATAAATGATTTGATTGGATTTATAAAAAAAGACAAACTTCTCACACACACATTCGCCAAACTTAGCTTCTTTGTTACTGATACACGTGGATAATGCCTCGATCCTTTACGATTCTTGGTTTGTGAACTAAATGTCTTGTGGGTTTCATCATATTAAACGTCTACGATCTGCATCGAGTTTGGCTTTAAGCTGACATAAGGTTGAAATGTAAATAACTGAAATGCTACTCGAAGTGACATAACAGCCAACACGCAGACGATATGGATATCTATACAATGATAATAATGAATTTATAAAGCTCTGACTTCCAACTGGAAAAGCTGCTCGGCGGCGCTGTGAGGTGGTAAGTGGTAAGTCTTTAAAGAAGAAAAGAAGATGTCAGAGTTAGTGGAACATCTGATGAAGAGAGGAAGTGAGTTCCACAGAGTGGGGAGAAGCAATTGAGAAAGATCGTTCACCCAATTTTGTTTTGGTGTCTGTTACAGCGAAATGCATTTGATCGACAGAGCGCAGGCTGCGACTAGGCTTGTGAACTGAAATTCGAGTTTGAAAATACTGTGCATACTGTGGATCATAAATAGCGCTGTAGGTAATGTTAGGCAGCTTGAACTTTTATCCGTTGTTTAACTGTCAACCAGTGAATACTCTGCAGTACGGGTGTGATGTGCTTGGTGGATTTAGTTCTGGTAATGATACGGGCGGCAGTGTTCTGCACACCTGCAAGTGGGTAATTACAGAGGGTAATGGTCTAGGCTAGACAAATCATTGCTGTGGACAAGTATCTTTGTGGTTCCAGCACCAAGACATAGACGGATGTTTCCATTGTTCCTCGTGTGGATAGAAGTTGATCTGGCGACAGTGAGAGCTTGTTCCTCTGACAACATTGTCTTCACAAAGATGACTGCCAGATTGCTAACTTGATCAGAAGGATGAACATTGGATTCAGCAACCTCAAGTTATAATTAGGGAACTTTCAGAAGTAGAATAATGAACTCTGTCTTATCGTCGTTCATCTTCAAAACGTTTGTTTTACATGTATTCACATTGACGGGTTTGATACCAAGATGTAACTGATTATATCATCAGCATACGCATACAACTTTAGTCCATGTTTCGTATGACATTGCCGTGGGGCAGAATGTACAAAGAAAACAATATCGGTCCAACATCTTAGCCCTATGGCACACCACATGTTAAACTGTGTTAATCACGTTAACTGACTTTATACCATATACCTGAACTTGCAAAAGTTTTCCTGATAAGTAAGATCTGAACCAGGATAATGACGTATCCTTGATTCTCAGTCAGTGTTCTAAGCGCATCAAATGGATGTCATGGTCAACCTTATCGAATGGTGCTGAAAGGTCACGCAATACCAGGAAAACATCTTAGATCTCAGAATATCGTTGTGTACTTTGACCAGTGCAGTTTCGGTACTGCGTTGAGGCCTGCACGCTGACTGAAATACATCACTCAGATTATGAATAAACAGATGTTGGTTAAGCCTCGCTGGAACTAAGTGTTTCAGTTCTTTGGACACAAATGACAAGTTGGACACAGGACGATAGTTAACTGTTTGACTGGCATGAGTAAGTAAGATAACATACAGCTTTATGGACAACACCTTGCTTTTTGCAATATAGCTAGATGTATTGACTCAAGCTTGATAACGGTGTAAGAATCTACATCGAAACGTCGCTATATGCAATAAACCAGAAGTTGTTATCCATAAAGCTGTACGATAGTTCTTGAGCACACATGTGTCTAATGATACTTTCTTACTAGTAGTGGAGTAGTGCAGGTATGGTGGCTTGCTTGAAGGTCGTCAGGACTGATCCATGTGCTAGTGAGGTATTCAACAAGGATGAGTTTGCACGACTACAAGTTTCCAGGCATCCTTTCAGAACCCACGTTGGCATAGGGTACAGAAAACACAATTCGCTGGGCGCAGCATCGACTATTGACTTCACCTCCTTTGAACTAGAAGCTTGGAATGATAGTATACGTTCTCCAGAAAATGGAACATCACATTCCGTGAAATCGTCGTCCGATTCAGTGATGAAGAAAGATGCAAATAAGTTTGCCATAATCTTTGATTCAGTTTCGTCGACATGCGATTTGTCAGTTTCTTTGTGGGGCCAATAAATTGTCTTGAATTGTGTTTGTTGCCCATCACTGTCTGTGTCTTTATGGTTACTTTTGAATCAGTAGGTAGAATCAAGCATGCTCTACAAAGATTTCGTACGACTCTTGCTGAAAAGGTCTTTGATCAGGGTTACAACTTTCAAGATCACAGAAAAGCTTTCAAAATTTTTCATGGTAAATATATAACTTCAACGCCAGAGGATATCCATTTGGCGTGAGGCGAAATAGCAGATCAAATATATATATTGATCAAAGAAAATCAGTGATGACATCAGGTGTTCCCGGAAAGGTTCTTAAAACGTAGTGCTTAGTATTATGAATTCTTAACAATTTGGTTGTTAATGGCAATATAAATCACAAAGACATCCTTTTTACTGGAGAGTCTGATCTAACCATACACATCATACACCCAACATAGGAAGCAATTAAAAACAAACTATATAACTAAAATAAAATAAAAAACACCATATGCTCCCGTGTTTGTTCATGTGAACAATCAACTGGCCTTTGCATGTGTTTGTGGTGGGTGTCACCGTTGGGACAGGATACGTTCAACATTTCGCAAAAACTATCCAATAGTGGTTATAAAATATAAGCATAAAAAAACCATATCCATGATCATAAGACATATCTACTAATAGCAGAGTCCATATGGATCACTATCAAATAGTGATAGTACTAGGTACGCATTACACATGCTTATGATACAGCCGGAATGGTACACTGGACGCTTTTTTCAGAGATTTCGTATGATCACGGATCACTTTTTATTTGTATAATCTACTTTTTATATTATACGGCGTTTCATTTCAGTAAGTTCAGTGTATCGACACACCTACATTCTTTCCAATAGTGTCATATTTAGTCAACGTTGAAACACACTATAACCTTCAGTGAGGATGCTGTCCATGACACTCGAATGCTGACATGATGTAATGTGTCATTTCTGGCAACAAATACAATGTCATACATTTTCATGCACATTGTGTTAGTGGCGGGTACAACCGGTAGAACATGACATGCTTACCTTTTGCGCAAACACCTGATGTCTTCGCTGTTTTTCAGTGATCTATTCCTTTCATTCTCACCGCTGTTTCACCTTTTACGCCCAATAGAATATATTTCACCGGATAATCCAGATTGGTTAAATATCTGTCGTTGACTTTTCATATTTATATTATTAAAGTTAGGCTACTGTTTTTCACTAACAAGAACAATCATTATGTAATGTTCTTATTTCAAGGTCTTTTAAGAAACATCCTGACAAATAATGTAACCTGGGAAAACGGAATATGCGAGTGCAACTCATTCGTTTTATTTCAGTAACCGTCTATTCATTTATGGTAGCTTCAATCCACTGCCTTCCTCCTGATGAACTAGCATAGACGGCTGGAGAGTTGGGCTGAGCGCAACCAGGGCCCCAGCTCACAATTCCTGCAAACAAGGATAAGGTGATGTCTTCGAGAAATAATATTTATATGTCTTAATATGACATTGTGTATTCATTATGAAATCTACAATTCAATATGATTACGAAACACCAGAGTAGAGAAACTTACACTTGAACAATCCTTACTGGACAAACGCGGTCAATAATAGATTCAAGATATTCAGGACCATTTCCTAAAGTGGTGTCAGAATTTCTCCTCTGTTACTGAAAATTGTTTTTTTTTAAATTCCACATGACATGATATATTTCGGGTTTGGCTGGAAAGTGAAACGTTTAGCCGTTCATAATGTTAACTTTTACATATATCATATGACCTTATCACCATGTGGACAATTGCTAGTAGCTAAATTTGACTGACAGCTTTTCTGAGTTGGGTCTTGTTTTGCAACGTAAGAAGAGTTGCCACCCTTCATACGATTTAACATGTTGCGATATTGCAAATGTAATGGATACGACAAGATGAAACCTTCAAAACATGATTACAATAACAGATCGTTACTCAAAGGGACTAGAACAACGCTGGAATACTAATCTGGTTGAAACCTGTGATGTCATCACCACGAGCATTTCGTATGTGTTGATTCTCCTGAAAATGACATATTACCAATTATCTCCATGCGATCGTTTTGGAAGCACATCAAAGGTCCTCCGCTGTCTCTCTGTAAATACATGTTCTCTTTTCATCAAATGAGCTACAGAAGACAAGTGATAGATTCTACCACCAGTCTAAGCTTAATACAAATGTGAAAGTGAATTCATTTCTTTACTTATTCACTAGATAAAAGCAGTGCAAAATGAAATAGGTGTTAAAGAATTCATCTTGTTTTGATACTTCTTTGCTTTTCTATGAACAGTTTGGATCGTGAGACATATTTCTGTCACAAATACCTGCGGGTCCTGTTGGTTCTGGTCACGTGATATTTAATAGTAGTGAGTGACTGAGTATCGTTTTACGCCGATTTTTGCAGTATTACAGCGATCGTGAGACATATTTCTGTCACAAATACCTGCGGGTCCTGTTGGTTCTGGTCACGTGATATTTAATAGTAGTGAGTGACTGAGTATCGTTTTACGCCGATTTTTGCAGTATTACAGCGGGGGACACCAGAAATTGGCTTCACAAATTGTACCCATATCGGGAATCGAACCCGGGTCTCCGGCGTGACGAGCGAACGCTTTAACCACTAAAGCTACCCGACCGCCCTTACTAAATAGTGATATGTAGGCAAGCGTTATGTAACAAAACTACGTCTTATAAATTGCGTAAATACCAAAACACAAACACAATATCTCAGAGTATACGACATGGGAAACCATGCGTTTTCAGATTGTATAGAATAGCTTGAAACATGTAAGGAGTAGTAAAATTCCCATGAAACCTTTTGAATTTAGTTCCAAAGATTCTATATATCCTCACCCTACAGTGACTGTTACCTCATGGTGCTTCCCAGGCAGCTTAGGTTGTATACTCCGCAGGGAGCTGCTCATTGAAATCGATTGCACACATATCCACTGACTAGGTAATAATGTAGCGTTTTGAGTATGCTTTATAATGTGGATTTGGCGCATCCTAAATATGCACACTACTATTTAATAGATTTACATATGAAGCAGATGAGGTGGTTTCACTGGCTTCTTTCATATCTAGCTCTGGAAGGGAACTGTCTATTTGACCTTTTTTGAACGATTAATAAACCATGGTACTTACGGTGCACGAACCTTTTCCACCATCCGGATGGCCTGCACAAATCATTGAGGCTTCATGGTACTGGTTAGAGCCGTATATGTTCCTACATTCGGTGCGTGACAGGACGGGCTTTTCAACAACCCGGAGCTCATCTGATACAGCGCCCCCTATAAGTACAATTTATCATCAGCGAGTCTCCTATTATTTGGTACAGTCACAGTTTATACGTATGGTAATAAGTTAATATTTGTCTTTGCAATAATGAATTTAAATGGAGTTAATATAATATAAAAACAACACAGTTTTCATCCTAGACCACAGTAGCATACATATGACTTACTGACAAAATGTAATGTTGGATAGGGACATCAAGACTGCCAACTTGTCCAGTTGCCAGAACCATTGTCCAGAAGAGCCATATATCCTCAATGTGATAAACTATTCTTACTACGTACTTTGAGAACCCCATTTAACATAACAAGACTGCTTTCAAAATATTGTTCTTATTTGTAAACAATACCTGTGCACATACAGTCAATCGTTTATACACTCTTCGGTTAGTATAATGAACCTATAAACATACCGAAAGAGGTAGTTCCCCATCCGGCGACATAGCATACTTCTCCTGCTGTACTGACATTGCCGGAAACACACCCAAAGTTGATTTCAGGCTTAGATACCAGTGGGGCGCTACTTAGCTCAATAAGCCCAATGTCATACTCATATGTTGTTGGGTTGAACAGAGGGTGGGTCATCGCAGTCTTTGCGTCAAGGAACTCAGAGGATGTTTCGCTTTGGGAGAGATCATGAGCGCCAAGGCGAATCTTCCAGTCGGACGCCATAGTTCCACTGACATGTCAGGTACAAATATTTTATTTTTACATTATGATGACATTAAGCTGATACAAAAAATATATGCTCCATTGTACAATATATTTGAACTATTTCATAATCTAGCAACATTCATTATGGCATTTTACATTTTGTAATATGTGTTCATACTCTTTTAGAAAAATTACATTTTGGAATCGAGTGATTTCTCAAGCTCATGTGTTCATTGTAAGATAAACATGAAACACATATGTCACATATATGTGACATGCTGTGATGTGACCCTGGGTTATCCCGTTATATCAATCTGACAAGCTGTGATGTGACCCTGGGTTATCCCGTTACATCAATCTGACATGCTGTGATGTGACCCTGGGTTCTCCCGTTATATCAATCTGACATGAAGTGATGTGACCCTGGGTTATCCCGTTATAGCAATGTGACATGCTGTGATGTGACCCTGGGTTCTCCCGTTATATCAATCTGACATGAAGTGATGTGACCCTGGGTTATCCCGTTATATCAATTTGACATGCTGTGATGTGACGGAGTCAGCATACCGTGTCACACACACTCAGACACACACACACACACACACACACACACACACACACACACACACACACACACACACACACACACACACACACACACACACACACACACACACACACACACACACACACACACACACACACCTCATAAGAAGTGTTACACTTCTAAATATCAATTATAGTATGTTTAGGTGTCGACAACTTACTGCAAACAGTGGGCAGAAGTTAGGATGTACCATCTATCAGAATTGCCTTTCAGAAGAGATCCAGCACAGTGCATAACACCAAGGTTTTCAAGAGCAGCCTAGAGACATCGATAAAGGCAGTGAGTGAATGTTATCCTACGTCCTAGTCAGCACCAGTCAACAATTCCACGGCCTGGCTAAGCAGTGGTTCATAGCATCAGGGGCTGTAAGGTTACACGGACACAAACTCAACTAGGTCACACATTGTCACGGCCTAATCATCCTCAACTTCATCGGTTGTTACGATAAGTATTATGTGCTTGGACATCAACTGCTTCTGGGCCATCAGTGGATATATGAGACCAAACAACTACTACTGAAAACTAATATATACACATGCCATGCCCCTTTATGCCCTTCACATGGTCAACGATATGTTGGCACTTGTAATCTTTAGTAAACATGGAGATTAATGCCCGCGTGTTGAATTACATGTACCTCAATACAAATTATGTTATCTTGTATAGTATCAATTTCATAACATTGCATTCTTTCTCATTGTAAGTCACTGGTAGTCCACCCAAATGGACAGAGAACATGCAGCTGTATCTAGTTAGTCTATATATTGATGCTCTATTTTGTTTAAATTATCGTGTTGCGTAGTTGTGTAAGGTTAAATACACCAGTATTCCTTTATACCTATCAGAAGATGTTCGACTGAACGATTGATTAATACAGAGTTGATTTAATTCTGTTTTGTGGTAATAAAGATATTCTATTTCACCAAAGTGTTTCTTGGTATGACATGGTCACTGTATGGTACCTTGACATGCGAATCCTGCGGCGATTCTGTGTTTGGCTTCTCGTGCCTTATGAACCGAGTGTTAAAATGAGGCTCGGTTGGTCAGACTCTGTAACGTGGTGAATAGTGTGTCATTGTACCCTGATGGTGTGCGTTGTTGCTTATGCTCTCATTCACTTGTCTGCCTGGTCCAGACCATCTTCCCGAGGCAAGGGCGTTAACTGGCTATAAAAGTCCACTTTCCACCCTTGTCAAACTAGTTTGGAATTTCCAGGCTCGACCGTCTCGCCACCAGTGGCTATTACGAGTTATATCCCTTCTATGTCTTATTGACCAATCAGATTCAATCTCTCACATCTCTGTCAATTTCTTCAAACAACATGGAGGCCCTCATTCAAGACGATCTAATCGATACCCAAGGTATATTTTGTAATAAAACGGGTATTACATCAATGCATCAAATTACTTGAGCACCCTGATGAAAAAACATGAAAATATTTGGAAAAATTCTTTCGACGCCCACTTGACGGTACACATGCTTTGCAAATATTGCAGTCGACAGAAATCTGCACGTTGAAATCTATGTTGTTTACCAACCGGATGTCTAGTTCGTTACGCGACTTTGATTGGACTAGACTCATTAATCCAGCCAAAATGTAACTCCGGAATTCCAGCCTAGTTCGGCAAGTTCTGACTTTTACAATCAGTTTACGCCCTCACCTCGGGAAGATGGGCCCAGATTCGATTGTGTTACAGGTCACCACGTTATAACTGGAATATTACCACATCATCATTGACCTGGAGCTGGATTATTAATTTTTTTTATCCATGTATGTTTAATGTTGTGCGCCTTATCATAATATCCCTCACTGAACCATTTGTCCATATCATGACCGAATCTTTCACAGAGCTCAAATCATAAAACACACACAATGTTATCACATTCATGTATACCGTCATATATGTATATATAACGACAGTTCAAAGAACAAAATATCCATTTTTAACTTTGGTATTGTCAGCTATTCCGGAATACATGTGGTTTATTTACCTATTGCTTGTTCATGAAATTTGATACTTCAACAATGAGTTAATATGAATGACATGTTTACACTGTGTAGTTTGTGAGATCCTTCTCGGTATACACTTTATTTACCATCCATGGGAAGGAATGTGGTGTGGCGATTTGTCCACCAACAATGCGTTTCCTGGCTGTCTTTGGTAGGGTGGTGTAATCAAAGCCCACATCATTGATCCCACATCCAGGAGGTTCTATCTCACTCAATACACCTGCCAATTCAATCACGAACACATTGATGTATTATGTAATGAGCATAATAAAATATAAAAGTGAAGACTTCAGATGTTCAATCTGAGTAAAGTAGTGTACATATTAGGTAAAATGTGTGCTTATTCCAACCTCCAACGTCTAAGTCATTTTCAAATTCAACCAATATCAGCAACACGTGTTCAAAGAACGTATTTTCAAAGCGTTGATCACATGTGCACTTAGGTTTGTTATTTGTCTGTAATATCATTGGCTGTAGAAAATGAAATACATGAGTCATACATGAATTGAAGTGTCAGTAAAATGTCAAATGCTGTCGGCGGAAGAAAGTGAAGGTGAGGTGAGGCGTACACTCTCCACTCGAGAACATCCCACAGATGCTGTATTGGGGACATGTCAGGGGACTTAGAGGGTCTAATGTCCACATGCCCTCTCTTCGGAGATAATCGGCGAAGACCTGGGCACGATGTGGTCTGGCATTGTCATCTTGCAGTTCAAAATGTTTGCCGATAATTCTAGCAAATGGAACAACTAAGTGACGAAAAATGTCGTCAACAAACCGCTGGTCAGTCAAATGTCCATTCACAATAACAAATCAGGCCCCCATAGCTATTATGGTCAAGAATTGTTGCTCTGGCATACCGCTAGCCGCTACTTCACCAACAACGTTTTCTGTCTGCTGTAAATCTGAGGCAAAACCTTCATTCGTCTGCAGACATTGTGTAACATCACTAGTGCACAGCCCGTCCCTGGTGCTGCTAGCCAACCCCAATCCTTTGCCACCTATGGTAAACTTCACAGGACACCTTGCCATTTGTCTGTTCACTGACATACTGTCTCAAAGGCATTTTAAGCGAGTGCTTAGCTCAATTGCATTAGTGATTGTGAGTTTCCCGACACCACGAGCTGTTCACGAATGATGTGCAATGTCATTGGATTAGATGTTACGTTCAGATGCATGATCACCGTACAGCAGAGACACAGACATGGTAATAAACATACTGTCTTGACCTTTACGGAAAATGTGTGCCAGATAGTGGAGCAGTGTCACTCTAACATTCCACGCATGATGTGCAATGTCATTGGATTAGATGTTACGTTCAGATGCATGATCACCGTACAGCAGAGACACAGACATGGTAATAAACATACTGTCTTGACCTTTACGGAAAATGTGTGCCAGATAGTGGAGCAGTGTCACTCTAACATTCCACGCATGATGTGCAATGTCATTGGATTAGATGTTACGTTCAGATGCATGATCACCGTACAGCAGAGACACAGACATGGTAATAAACATACTGTCTTGACCTTTACGGAAAATGTGTGCCAGATAGTGGAGCAGTGTCACTCTAACATTCCACGCATGATGTGAAATGTCATTGGATTAGATGTTACGTTCAGATGCATGATCACCGTACAGCAGAGACACAGACATGGTAATAAACATACTGTCTTGACCTTTACGGAAAATGTGTGCCAGATAGTGGAGCAGTGTCACTCTAACTTATTGGTCAATTCACAAGTCACTCGTTACTGATAAATTTAATATCAAACGAACAAAGGTATTTGTATCAGTTCTTTGTAGAAGTATTACGTATAAATTGCTAATTTTGAAGCAATTTGTCGTCTCATGTGACCTGTTAGCTGTGAATTAACACTGATATTCAGGATACAAAATAGTTAAACACAAGTATAATTTTAGTTCAGCCAAAATTAACGTATGTATGGTATTTGTATTCGCATATTACCTTCTCTTCGACATAACGAAAATACAGGACTTACATTTTGCGTTAATTAAGGCATATTTATTTGATTTCACACAACAAAGAGGAAAGAATTGAATATTGTCTTTTAAAGAAAGGGAGCGATGGTTCGGACGAATACTTGATCAGTTACTGTCGCAGTATCACCGCATAATTGTTTTCTTACCTGATGCAAGATACCCTAAAACAAAACACAGAAGTGCTGGCATATTCTTAGGGACACCAAATCATTCAAAGCATTGTAGGACAGGGTTTTCAGATTAGATAAGCAGGCGTGGGTGTTTCATACTAGCTGTCACCGGTTTGACTGTTAAGGCCACAGGACATACTCTACTGAGATATCTCAGCAGGTAACTTGAAACATGCTCTATTATTGAAATGCGAACTTTTGTGCACTCATTAAAGAGCAACATACTGCTGTAGCTTATCAAAATAACAACCAGTAATGACTCGCTGAGACCAAGTTTTGTCCAATTCAATACAAACGTTACTATAAAAATATCTACATTACGTCATCCGTGTATTATCCATTTCGTTGGGTAGAATATCTTAGTGTGCAAACGTACGAAGAAGTTTGAGATATATATTTCAGGTAACTTCATGTACGAAACTCTGCCATAGCTTGAAAGGGAGGCGGGGCACTTTCAGGACCATGCAGTAAGTGCAGTGTACATGCTTGTACAAACATTTAAAAAAAGTGTCACATGAACACAAGAGTTTCACAGATGTTGGACAAAATGTATGGACTTTTATGGACATCTTCTATATGAAAGATACGGTGACATTTATTTACCGTCCAGTGATATTTAGTAAAAAGAAATAAGTAACACAAGGTGTCATTAGACTCGTGGCTAATTTACATTCAGCAATAATATGCAGCCCTTGGGCAGTACGGTCTCACATAGGTGTTGTTGGAACCATTTACAAAGATCATTGGGTGTTGCGTCGTACGAGTTTTACTGGAATTAACGATCTGAAAGAAATACCTCTCCGTTGTGGTGTGGTGTAAGTGTGTATCTCATACCACAATGTCCCAGGTGAGTAATGATACTATAGACAACACCCGGGTTACATTACATATTACCGTACATGTATATAATCCCACTACCTAAGACGTGGTACACCATGTCACTCGTACTATCACGACATGCCTAGCAATGAGAACGTTTCATTGCATTCTGTGGCGGTATGTACGACGCACATCGTCTATCCTTATTTGGGGTTGCCTACTCTTCGTACAAGAATTGTAAAATTGCATTGTTCGCCATGCTTTTCACGAACACCTGGAATCATCACTATTTGATAGTGATTCATAAACACGTGCTCCTGATATAGTCTGAATCGTACAATCGACTCTGCTGACAAGGGTTTTGTCGCTTTTATTGTTCTTCTACACACATGGTGAAAGCAAACTGTGACGAAGTTTTTGAAAGCCTGTATTGAAGTTGCTCATGTATTGGTCTCAGCTAGGCCTTTTAAGCATTAATCGTAGCTACAATCCATTGTCTGGCGCTCGTTGCACTTGCATATACAGCTGGAGAGTTCGGTTGACCACAGCCAAAGCCCCAGCTGACGGTTCCTGAAATATGTAACCTGGTTAAGGTCGGCTACATGATAATGTATCTCCTAGGAACAAATATGAATTAGGTTAAAATCTTATCATTTTTTCTCTATTCATTATAGCCCTTACTCACTTTATGTATTGGACTCACTATGTCATGAAGAAATATAATGTCCATATCTAGACACTTACTTGATAATATATTGACGACATGGAATTTTGCAACGATGTACACTCATATTTATGGCATACTTTGACGGTTCATTATGAACGGTGGCTGTTGTTAAAAACCAACGCCAATTCATTGATATATCATTATCTTTGGGATACGCTGACGCCATACCAATATCCATGACATTATCTGTTTCCAGAACAACCAACCTCCTGGTTAGGGCTCATTACAAATTAACATTTAGTGTATATAATAAAGGTATTCAAAGAATCAACCCTTTTCAGACAGGACTGCTTTGATAATCTCAGGGTTCTTGTTTATTACATATAATTAATTCTCGCGAAACTAATGACACTCTCAAAAGGTCATTATATAACACAATGTCTACGTTTATTTTGCCATACGTACCAATTATTTCCATACGGCCATTGCGATAACACATCAAAGGCCCACCGCTGTCATTCTACAAAAACACGCATCCAACAGATGAAGAAATTGAAGTAAGGGGTAATAAGAAGTGGCTGTGAGCTGCTGCGAGTCAATGTTTACGTCAAGGACATAGTGTCTTAGAAAAGTCTTTGTATCGTAGATGATAATTTTTGAAGATTGTCTAAGGTCAGGCCCGTGAATTTAGGAATGTGTGTGTAACATACTTTACACGGGTCTTTCCCTCCTTCGGGGAAGCCTGCACAGATCATGGAAGATTCGTGGAAGTCGTTTGAGCCATATATATTTCTACAAGCGGCCTTGGACATTACGGGCTTCTCCACAACCTGCAGCATATCTGACGGAGCGCTTTCTGTGGACAGGTTAAAAACACATTTGCATATTTTCAAAATCATAATTGATGAAATTACACAGCAGTTAATAAAAGTGACACGCAATCAATTCGAACGTCATCAGTACAGAAACTCCGCATTCATGAAGATTCTGAACTGTACGTCTATATATCGTAAAGCGACCATAATTACAGCAATAATTCGTTATTGCTGATAATGAATTAATCTGGATAATTTCACTTCGGGTGGTAATGGTATTTCTCTGTATTTTCAAAATTGTGCAAATCACATATAACTGCCAGAAGGACTATTAATCTAGTACTACAGTTGGACATCTTCTAATGTACGGTTCATAAGTTATAGAAATCGTGAAAATATTTTATATTATGTATAAATACTAGTATCTAAGTTAGTTCAAGTTGGACTTATATACCATATAGTTTGATATAACACCGCAGTCACAGAATTCTTCAGTAATCCAGACTGATTATCTCTCCACCCCCAACTTTGCCATGGCTGAAATTCCATTACTCTTCACTGTTCATGGCTGTTCACGGTGACAGTGTGATTTACAGATTGCAAGAACCCCAAGGGCAGCCTTGATATATTATTATGTTCACCTTTATTGTGGTGATTTACTTGTGGAATATGTCAGCCTCCACAACATTATTGTTAAGTTAATCCTCAAGTTAAGTTTGAATACCGCCGTTTTTAGCTGCAGGCGAGTCAGCTTTGTACGATACGAGAAAGTCTGAGAGACTGTTCATATCTGTGACCGATGATTGTGTAGCACTGACACAGTCGTAAAAGTGTGTCTTACTTGGTTATGTGTGCTTTGCAACAGATTTCATTATGTTTGATAAACCGTTATGATCAAACTTATGGAATTTTAATGGGTTATGAACACCCACTGATATATTTATGAATGCATAGGTCATCGATAGATCAATGTTTTCATTCGCAAGGTGTTTTTAAAGTCATGTTAATCGTAAGGTATCGAATGGAAGTAGATACCCTTTTTAATGTTATTTTGACCAACCAGAATCAAGCATATCATAGTGAAATAATATTTTAAAGAGCGTTACATTCGTCATGTTATTGGTTATGAAATAGAACGAATGTTAACATTTGTGTACCTGTATCATATATTTAAACTTACCTTCTGATGTTGTACCCCATCCGATAACATAACAAATTTCTCCTGCAACAGTTTCATTGCCAGAAACGCAACCAAAGTTGATTTCCGACCTGCCTATCCTTGGTGCTCTAGCCAGTTCCATCAAACCACTGTCATGCTCTAGTGTGGTAGGCTTGAATAAAGGATGGCTCATCACAGTCTTGACGTCAATGAACTCAGTGGATTGTTCACTTGTCGACAGATCGTGTGCACCAAGACGAATCTTCCAATCTGTGACGACTGTTCCACTGGCAGGGGACAACATTGTAAAAGGTTTTGATGGTTTTTTTCAAGAGGAAGGTATGACATAGGATACATGTAAAACGTCCACATTATTTTGGTCATAGTTTTTTTAAAATAACCAGTCTCAAAAACACAAATAGACGCATGTTGTACAATTGTTCCATAGGATTCACAAAGTTTTGTTTCTAACAAACCAAATATCATAAAACCATACAGATCCTCAAAACTAGGGCAAAACTCTGCACAACAACGCTTGAAGTTTAAATCCACTGGGTAACCACAAATCCATTTAGCTATTTGACTTTTACATGGACAGTTTTTATTGTAAAGTCGGTACTTTGCGGCGTTAATATATATATATTTATCCATATATATACTGGGTAACTTACTGAAGGCAGTGGGCTGCGGTGAGGATAAACCATCTTTTTGATGAACCCTTCAGAAGGGATCCAGCACAGGCAAAGACCCCCCGATATTCAAGCGCGACCTTTGTTCAAAAATGAGAACACGGACACATTGAGCAAGATTACAAAATGTATGCCTCATGTTGTTCTCCTTATCACTATTGAGAGACACGCACCTGATTGAACTGTTTAGCCATGACATGATATGAACTCACCAAGTATTTTCTTACAGTTTCACCTATTAAGGTGCTTGTTCCCTGTATCGCATACAAATATATTATGCTCACACTTCTACATATTTATAGAGAATGATATATATAATGTATTAAACACTTTTAGTGGAATTGGATACGTAAAGAATAAAATATTAATATTTTATTTAATAACGTTGATCTTGACATTTCTGAACAAATAGAGTAACTGTACTTTTGCCAGTATAATGAAACTTGAGACACACTGGCTGATGATTCATCAGTTGATTGAATGATTGGTTAGGTGACCTTTGCACTGACCAACTGATCAGTCACTGGGATTCAATTTTCGTCAGATGTTCGTAAAAACATTTTTTCTTGATTTACCATCCATGGAAACGAATGTGGTGTTGCGATTTGTCCACCAACAATGCGTTTCCTGACTGCCTGTGGGAGAGTGGTGTAATCAAAACCGACATCATTGATCCCACATCCTGGAGAATCTATATCGCCCAAGACACCTGCAATAACACAGACTGACTGCAATTACAGGTCGACAGACTGAACCAATCGTGCAGTACCCAATGCAGGCTATATTTGAACATCGAATAGTAGTGTAACATCATAAGTAACAGACTTATAAGAATTACATCAAGAGTAATAGACACCACTGTGTTCCACACATACCTAACTTCAGTTATATGAATGTATATTTTACAATCTGGGTATTGTATTCACTTTGCCTTCAAAACCACGTATAAAAAAGATCAATTATAAATATGTTGGAGACAACATAAGACTTTTCTATCCTTTGGTATGTCTTACCTGAAGTTAGACACGCTAAAACGAGAAACCAAAGACCCAACATTTGTCCCTGACTTTCTTTGTGACACTAAGTCGTGGAATATTGCTAAAATTGTATCTTAATCAAGGTGTTGCCGCTGTGTCGGGTGAGAGTGATAAGAAGAATATTGATAGTCTCCGGTTTTGTTCTTCTCACGATAAGAATAAGGCTCAACGTGTAAGTGGACCTTCTTTACATGTGAATCAGTATATTTTTGTATATAAAAATGTATATAAATTATAAAATGTATTGTTCTAATCAATCACATATAAAATCAGTCTGGCTAAATGACGTGTCTAGAGTCCTTGCCACTTGAAATAGAAGCACGAAATATAGCAATTATTGCTTGACATGTTTTATTATACAATTGTATAATACAAGTCATACATATTACTCAGAGTAACGTGCGTTTTTCAAGACGTATGAATTTTGCTAGCGATAAACATCATCATTGAGTTTTTATCACGTGGCTTTAAATGTCACATGTGCACATTTGTTTCCTTCAGTTCGTGCTGGTAATGCACGTACCCTGCTCCATGGAATGGAACTGAAAGAATTTAAGGAACTGAAGTGTGTCACAATGAAGGTATGGACACAAAGATACTCGGTTGCCAGATTATCATGATATATGAGTCATGTTGGATTGGGCACGACTGATTTCGTGACTATCATTGCTTTGCAATTCCTCAAGTGTTTCATAATAACTTTTACAACAACCAACAAATACCAACCACGATTACACAAATATTTCAATATTTATTGCAATAACAATATTTCCTATTTGCTTTCAGTGATAAAACACCGTGACGTGTCTATTCAATTCATCACCTGAATAGCCTCACTGACCAAAAGCAAATATGTATGTTATGAAATATGCAGAATGTCGATTGGACGTAGCATTCGTCAGTGAGAGATCAACACATGTACAGTTCAAGTCTCCAGTGTTAGGATGAGGTCAGGATATGCATCATCAGTGAAAGCAGGAACGTAAAATCAGCCGAATTGGGGCGCTGTTCAGTTGATTTGCTGCTGTCCACGTAGCAAAGGCATGCCTGCGTAATGTTCTGAAACATGATAAATGACCTGTATTCGTAAACCTGATGAACAACCTTTTGTTTTGTTTTACAGTAACGTCATTCAGGATTGAAAATCCAACACTCTCAAAATATATGATAACTATCATAGGACTAGGATGGCGGTAAACACTATGCTGTATTTTATCAAAAGGAAAAGTTAAAATAAATAATATTGAAAAATGTTGATTTTGTTGATGGTTCTGAGCTGCTGGACGGTACAGAAATGAGTGTGAACCAGGCGAAGTGTCCTATCAAATCGGCCCAGACACAGGTTTCCAAAGAGAGGCTATCTGAACGACCAGAGCATCGAATTTATGTACAGCGTGTTGAGAAGATCAGCAACCCTGCAGAGTTCTTCGCTTGGATGAAGACGGAAGAAAGGTGAAACAGAAGGCTTTCTGTTGGCTGCTAACGACCAGGCACTTTCCACTCGAAACCGTCAATGTTTGATTTTGCATCAACATGTAAATATTAAATGTAGAATATGCAATTAACTTAATGAGACTGTCCAACACATAGTCAGTGGATGCCCAGCTTTGGCACAAACGCAATATCTTACCATCTTCACAATGCTTGTGGTTTTGACACAGAGATCCATCCATGGTACGACCAAGGATATGTAGAGGGCGTCATGGAAAGCAATGAATACAAAATTCTTTGGAATAGGCCCGTATACAGCCTCAGACCATATTTGCTGCATTGTTAATTTTAATCTGTACATAATAATAATGATGATAATAATAATAGGGAAACAATAAAACAATACACCACGACGCTGTGTGCTCATAGTACATTACATAATTCGAAGTTAACCATCAGTGTGCATTCCAATGCATTCACAGTGCCTTGGGGCGCGTACAGCTTGAGCTGCCTGTGATGCACGAGGTCTACACGCACATGGTCCTCACATACCAAACTAGTACCAATTCGCTGCTGGTTGAACAGAGGGGCAATTTCCACCACAGACAATTTGCAACAAAGTCACATGCCCAAGAAGGCAGCACATGTAACATGTGTTTCTATGTGAGGCAGTCATCCACTTCACTCCGTCGTCAGCGTTGGTAAACTTTGCCTGGTTTGTGAGTTATGTGCACTGAACGGGACCGAGTTTCATAATCGCAAGTGAATAGTTACGTGACGTACCTGCTTGTCTACCATGACGTAAACATTATCATCATTCAGTGGAGAAATCTGATCTTTCAAACTTGAGTCATGAAGAAGATCAAGAATTTTGCGAATCGTTTGATGAAGGTCAAGGGCCGTTACTCTTCCTGACTGGACAACATCCGCGAGTCTTTCCATGCCATCAGAAGGAACTCCAGCATACACATGTGTCAAATGTCGTTGACCTGAAGAGGAAAAGTAGTATCTGTTCACTATATGATGGATAGTGTTCAGAAATACGGGTTCAGATTTCAGAAATCCTTTATGAAAAGGGTTTTGTCACTTTTAATTATTCAGAAATCTAGGCGACATATTAACTTTGGGAATCACGATACTAAGATGGTAATACTGTAAAGATAATTAGGATATTTGTGGTGTTCTTAATACAATGTAATTCATCCCGTACTTACGTTTGTTAACTAGAGAATTTCCATCCTGTTTCATATCATTCAAATCGTCACGTTTGTCATTAGATAAAGTGGAGACATCAAGATTCGAAGCCGAGGAACTCTTCTTGTTGGAATCTGTGGTCCGATGTGTCTTTTGCCTGGATTTCTTGAAGAACTAAATACATGTAAACATAATTGTATAATGAATACTAGTATATAAATAGGTATATCTGTAGATAACAGTGCTTGTTTGCGTTTAAAAGATCGTTCTAAATCGTGTAACATGATACAGTCATAAACTGAGCATCATGTGAATGGTGACAGACAGATGTAACGGGATACCAGCGGGCTTGGATGACAAGGCCTAACTGTTATGTTTGTTGTATAATAATGTAAAACATCAGTCTCAAGCTTCTGCCGAAACAGATTTCATTGGGCATGAAGTGCAAACTAGTGGTGACAACATCCCGCGGGTGCAAAATTGAGGTGGAACTTTCGAGTCTTGACCGGACAATGCACTGACAATCCGTGTCAGGATCATCATCTAGGAGAGGGGCACACTAAGTACCCATTTCGATGTCTCCCACTTGTTTAAATGTTCTTCACCAATTTTGACATTTATATTGTCCATCGGGAATCCAGCAACCTCATCACATATGTTGTAGTTGAAAACATACGATTGTATGTACATATAACCGGACGATAACACATCCTTCAGACAAGCTTCAATAAATGCAAGTTTAAGCCTTTCAGGTTTTAGCTTTGATCGCTTCATATATTACTTCATTTGTTATAGTTAAACTTCACTGATAAACTTTTCAATATAGTGCAAAGGTATTATGAGGTGAAAGTTTAAGAAGACAATCATTACAAGAGTCTGGATAAAAGAAAGGTTGTCGCTTACCTTCATTTGTGTTATAAGTGGAAGTGTGTACAGCAGAGGGTTGAGGGCAGAGTTAACAGGTAGGATGAACACCAAGGTCCAAGCGAAGGCAACATCAGCAATCTCGGTACCAAATGCTGCTAGCAATCCTGAAATAGAGACAGAGCGTTCGATGATGTTATGTGTAGTTTGTGTGCACTCGCATTACCACGAAGAATAAGTGATCAAAGGTGCACTTTGAGAGAATCTGTTGTAAGGTCAAAGCGTAAGAGTATAGTTATAATCCCTATGGTGTAGAGCAGATAGCGGAATTATAAGACAAGTCCCGTCTTCACAAGATGCAAAGGTTTTCAGTAGCATCTAATGGTAATATCTAATGGTGGTTACAGCCTACAAGAAGCCTGAGATCAGAAATAAACAACTGCTAACGGTGCAGAAAAAGAAATTCGAATCCTTTTCCACATGCAGCGCCTGTACTGTGGCATCTGCTCCCAATGGCTATCTCTGTCTTGATACAAACAACACTGGGTGGATTCGACCCATTACAAATGTCCAATACAGTCGAACCTCACTTATCCGGACACTTGCGTTTTCTCAAATCTGGTCCGGATAAACGAGTGTCCGGATATAACAATCCCTTGTTAACTGACCAAAATTCCCTCCCCTACCCAAAATCCACCGAGGCATATGTGACATGAATGTCAAAAGTATGATTTATGAAGGATCGACCGATTTATCAATAAAATATATTGCTCTGTACAGACGGACAGCGCATGCTGTGAAAATGCCCTATATTATTGAAACAGCTGAAGAAATGCATATTTAGCCTAGTTTATGTAATACACTTGTTTGTATACTGTTGTGACGGAGAGGTTAGGGCAACCTGCCACACATTAACATTTAATAGCCCTGTTTACCCAAATGAGATAAAATCCAAGGGTGAACTCATTCATGTGTGAAAAATTGTGCTCTAGACTTATATTATGCAGGAATGCCACAGAATAAATTATTATTATATACAAGTAATAATTATATACAAGTAATAATTTCAAGTCATACTTATATACAAGTCAGTGCAATCTTACCTCAATCAGACCAAACGCTTTGTCTAATTTTGTCTCTTTTCTTCCATATTTCTTTCTTTCTATTCTCATCCTTCCTTACTGTACTTGTCATAATACGTCATCTTTCGTACATTTGTAAATACAGTACGTAAATACCAAGGAGAGGGTGTTCTATGTTGGATAACATGTTCCTAATTCTTGTCCATTTGTGAATATAATATGTTTAAACTAAACTAACTATTCTTTTAAATGTAGCTAATTAACACAGTTATCACATGACACCCGCCGCTTTTGATGTTGGCTGTCGAGTTTGAATTGCCAACAAACGTGGTCACTCTCCATGGGACACAATAGTGTGTATTTTGCACGGTTGATAACTGAATGAAATTCACTTTCCGGATCCGGAAACCGAATTTTCGGATAAATGAAGTATTTTATGAAGTATTTATTTCATTGCACAAAAACATTGTCGTGCCAAAGCTAGACATCCACTGACAATGTGTTGGCCAGTCTCATTAAATTCATTGCATATGATCTACATTTCATATTTAGATTTTGATGCAAAATCACTCATTGTCGGTTTCGAGTAGGAAGTGACTGGGCCTGAAAATTGAAACAGAAAAGGCTTCTGTTTCAATTTTCAGGCCAGCCGACTTCATCCAAGCGAAATTCTTTTGACAATGACACCTTCGAAACTAGCAAATTAATTCTAAATAGATGACTTTTGTTTTGAAACAAAAAGGAAATATCAATTTACCCATTACTCCAATTGGGAACCAGCAACAAAAGTCTGTGAAAGCCACGAAGAAGAGTCGTTTTGCAATGGCCAACTCCTGGGCATTCCGCTTCTCATCCTTCACTAAAGCATGTGAAGTTACCACTCTGTAGATGAATAGCTGACCAAAAGCAATCAGAAGGAACACAAGGAAGTTGAAGCATACAAAGATAGCGAATGCATAACACCACTCTGGTGTCATGTCATCAGAGAATGGTAGGGCCAGACACACAGAGTTGTCTGTGTAGAAGTTCCAGTCTTGAAACATGAGGGGGGTCACTGAAAATGTTATGGCTGTGAGCCACGTTAGTACTGAAACAACTACCGCCCATCTCCTAGAGAATCTGACTTCGCCAAAAGGGAATTTGGTTGCAAAAAATCTGTCCAAAGTGACAAAGAAAATGAAGAGACAGGAAGCCTCTGAGGAAACGGTTGAGAGAATTCCGCTAAACTGACAAAGGATACTGCGTTTCCAATGATATGCATGCCACATGTAGGTTCCTTTATAGAACAAACCAACTGCTCCAATGATGACTAGATATAAACCCATGATGAGATCAGCAACGCAGAGATTTGTGATGAAAATCCCATACCCTTTCTTGAGCACAGACCTGTTATATATAAGTCTAAACCCGAGGGCAGCTAAGTTTCCTATGACTGCCATTACTGCCAAAATCCAGAGGAAAATACGGAGCAAGTCACTACCTATCAAGTCAGAAAAACTTGATATCTTATCATTTTCAGAATAGCATTCCTCTTTCTGGACAGTTTGAGGTCGGACCCCATCACAGCACATCGCGGGTGTATCAACATAGAGTATCTTCAAATGATCAAGGCCTTGGAACATATTTTCAGAAAAGATTTCAACCTCGCAATCGTCAATGTTCAAGGAATTGACCTGGGAGAGTCCGTTGAATGCTCCAGTTTCAATAATAGCAACGTCGGTGTCCGCCATTGAGATCACTTTCAAATTTGGCATACCTTGAAAAACGTCAACTGGTAAATAGGATATGTCAGTATCAGATAAACCGAGCGTTTCTAAAGCTCCCAAACCACTAAATGAGCCTGGTATAATGCGGTGAAACTTTTTGTTCAACGATAATTCGAGATGTTTTAGTCGAGGAACTGAAAAGGTTCCCTCCGGAATTTCAGTTATTAGATTTTCCCTTAAGTCCAAAGACTGTAAATTTAGAGAATGAAATATCTGAGGAACGCGTTTCAAACTGCAGTTAATAATCTTCAGACTCTCCAATGAATAAAATCCATCAAACTCTAGAATCATTTCTGACATGTCAATATTTTGAATTTCGATTCTTCTGGCAGTTTTGGGCAGGTTTGAAATTAATGGCATCCTCATTTCGCACACGATGGAATATCCGACACAAGAGCATTCATCGGGACATGTGTTTTGGCAGAACCTCTCGTCATCCCCTTCTGGGCAATGGTAAATTTTGTCACATAGTTCGTTAGCGTGGATGCAATGGTTGATGGATGATCCAGACTTCTGGCAGCGGTAGTAACCAGGACATCTATAGAGACCTGTTGTGAAGAGACATATCTAGCATGAGGTTAATACATGTGTTTTGTTTTAGTTCATCATGAATAATGTGGATGCCTCTCCATGTACAGCTGCCGTCCGGGTTTATAATCGAAAGGGAGTGCGTGAGTGATTTTACTTTAACGTCCTAAAATAATCATTCATAAACAGTAGGAATCGAGGAATCGAGCCAGCCCTGTAAGGCGAATTGATAGAGGACAGCAATAAATATTTATATGGTCATTAAGAACCATTCAATAATCTGCTTTGAAGCATCAACATTCAGTCGCTTTTGTCCTTTGTTATATATGGTAGAGAGACCTTTGTCACATATGGTAGAGATCGACGTTTGTTACATATTTTAGAGATAGACGTTTGTTACATATGGTAGATATGGACCTTTGTTACATATGGTTGAGATAGACCTTTGTCACATATGGTTGAGATAGACCTTTGTCATATATGGTTGAGATCGACGGTTGTTACATAGGGTAGAGAGAGACCTTTGTTACACATGGTAGAGATCGACCTTTGTTACATATGGTAGTGATAGACGTATGTTACATATGTTAGAGCTCGACATTTGTAACATATGATAGAGATCGACCTTTGTTCGTAGGGTAGTGATAGACGTCTGTTACATATGTTAGAGATCGACCTTTGTTCCATAGGGTAGAGATCGACCTTTGTTACATAGGGTAGTGATAGACCTATGTTATATATGTTAGAAATAGACCATTGTTACATGTTGTAGCGATAGACGTTTTTTACATAGGGTAGTGATAGACGTCTGTTACATATGGTAGAGATAGACCTTTGTTACATAGGGTAGAGATAGACCTTTGTTACATAGGGTAGAGATAGACGTCTGTTACATATGTTAGAGATCAACCTTGGTTCCATAGGGTAGAAATCGACCTTTGTTACATAGGGTAGTGATAGACGTTTTTTATATATGTTAGAGATCGACCTTTGTTACATAGGGTAGTGATAGACGTCTGTTACATAGGGTAGAGATCGACCTTTGTTACATAGGGTAGTGATATAGTTACTGCTTTTCATCACCATTGATTACTTAGTGTTCCAAACACAAGGAACCATTACACGTATTGTCCTGTGCATTATACAGATATAACAAATCCAGTTATGCGACACTGACAAGTATGTCAATCTAGACCTTCCTTCAACACTCATCTTACCGCACTGGTGTTCATCCTCTCCTCTGGGACAGTCTGTGACGCCATTACACACAAGATAGACAGGAATGCAGTAGCTGCCCGGGCACGTGTAGAATCCTGCAGGGCATTCTGCTAACGCTTCAAAATACAGGTTCATTGGTTCATCAATCACAGCTGACCATTTAACCGTTTTAGTATTGATAACATTTAGTGGGCAAGGTAATTGAAATACTAAAATATTTACGTTTACTACTCATTATATGTATATGGACATGTAAAATGTATTCCGTCATTCATTAACAATCTGAATCAGAGACAGTTGACGACACTCTTTGTATGTTTAGCAGTTATATTTTCAAACGATTAATACAAACATCTATTGCCAATTTTTAAGTAACTACGACCAAATAGATTATGAACCTACAACAATTATCAATGTTATTTCCATCAAAAGACGCTGGAACTTTTCCAAATATATCTGGCACCCTCAGACAAGAAAGGTTTGTCGTTCCATATATCTTCAGCGGATACTGATCTATGGACATAAATAACATTATATTACTTGTACGAAGCTTTTCCGATTTGTTGTTTGTTGTTTAACGTCGCACTTAGAAATATTCCAGCTATATGACGGCGGTCTGTACATAATCGAGTCTGGACAGTGACTGACATCATGAGCATCGATCCAAGCATTTGGGATACGATAACATGCATCAACCAAGTCAGTGAGACTGACCACCCGATCCTGTTAGTCGCCTCTTACGACAAGCATAGTCGTCTTTTACGGCAAGGATGTCTGACGTAAAACTTGGTGTTTCTATGTCCAGTTACTCAGAATAACCACAATGTGGACGTCCAACGGCTCATACGCTTCCCATGGCAAGTATTGTTCCAAGAAATGAAAAAAGAAATTAAGCATTGCCTTCTATTATAAAGTAAGAATGGCGAAGCAGTAGAATATTTACCAAATGTTACATATATGTTTAAATATGCCTTATTGCCATACTACAACTGAAAATACGGACTGCAGAGTACTTCACTTACTTACTTACATTTATGAACCTACTTACTAGAGGGGTGGTCGGGTAGCCTAGTGGTTAAAGCGTTCGCTCGTCACGCCGAAGACCCGGGTTCGAATCCCGACATGGGTACAATGTGTGAAGCCCATTTCTGGTGTCCCCCGCCGTGATATTGCTGGAATATTGCTAAAAGCGGCGTAAAACCAAACTCACTCACTCACTACTTACTAGAGGGCTCCGTGAGATTTAGAGAGGGCTTCTCTTCAGGCTGACAGGTTTCATCCTCCCGCTTCGTACCGTCACAGTCGACGATGTCGTCATTTTTCCAGAAATTAGGGATACAACGACCATCATGGCACTCAAAACTATTACAAGTATCTGCCGAAAAAATTTGATTTAGATATACTTAGGAGGAGAGATGAGGTGAAATGGGGTTTAACGTCGCGTCCAAGATTATTGCGCTTACATGGTGACGTGCATGCACGTGTGTGTGTGTGGCTGCTTATGCTAGTCCGGACTGATGCCGATTTTATAGTGCCAGCCCACTGAGATACCGAGCCGACCAGTCCTGGTTTTAGCCCCTTAATGCCGAGCGCCGGGCAGGGAAACAACAAGTACCAATATTTGGTATGACGCGGCGGATCGAACCCCGGACATTTCGCTCTCCAGGCGGACGCTCTACCACGGAGGTGGCCAGAAATACTTTAGAGTACCAAGACAATGTTTCAGTATGATTAAAGTCAACGAAGTGACTTACTTTGGAATCAGGTGGCCACAATCACAGGAAAATCCATTATGTTAATTGCGAGTCTTGACCAAATAAAGAACGGCCCATATAGGTGTCGATCAACGATGACACGAAACCAGACTGTTCAAACATTGTGTCCAAGGAATTCTTTTTTTAGTCGATTCTTATGGCAAACGTACCGTGAATATCCGGGGTAGAATAGGTCTTCAGCAACCTATGCTTTCCGTAAAAGGCGACTATGCTCGTCGTAAGAGGCGACTAACGGGATCGGTTGGTCAGGCACGCTGACTTGGTTGATGCATATCATCACTGATGATATTTACTGAATCAAGATGTTTCAGTGGTCAAAGGTGAGGGTCCCACATAAAAGTCCGCAGGTCATGGGTTCGATCTCGCACTTAATACGAATCTTGGTTATCTATATGTTACCTGTGCTCGATGGTGTCACCATCTATCGTCTATCTGGTTCACCTACATCAAGATGACACGCCGAGGGATTTAATTGAAATACTGTTCAAATGCATTCAGTCGCCGATATAAAGAGGGCCTTACCAGTGGGGACACGGGTAGCCCGGTCGTCTAAGGTGTCGCAGTTCGATGAACACATTTGGGTCGCTTGGGCGCGTCAGAAACCTATTATTGTGGGTTCGAATCCCGGTTCGCCCCCTTTATGTTTCTAGGTTTGTCAGCACCATACCCGTACTCTTGGGTTTCTCTAAAGTCGTTAACGTCTGAGACCTGCATCACTTAGGACTTTCCTCCCGCATTTGGCTGACACGCCGTGATATAACTGTAATACAGTTTAAAGCGGCGTTGAACCCAACTCACTCACTCACTACTGTTCCCGCAGAATGAAGATATTGCCTACCACAGTTCTGTTCATCAGTGCCATCCATACAGTTTTCAATCATGTCACATCTCTCCCCAGTCGATATACATTGTCCGTTCTCGCAAGACCAGCCGCCACTGCACGGGTTAGGCACTGGAACAGGATTAACAGGTTGATGCCTTTACTCCATGTGCCAATAAGGAAACGTATTGATGGTTCTTGTATCAATTCACTGATTGTATTTTATTTCTAGTCATATGCATGATGCACATTTAAAATAGTGACAACCAGAGTGACACAGTCACACGTGGGGGCGAAACTCTGATTGCCTCAACGAAAGTTCAAGGTGGCCTCACATTCGAAACTAAACGAACTTACAGAGAATACATAGTACGTCAAATAAGTACTCCTGCCATACGACGGCAGGCCACAAGCAATCGAGTCCCGACCAGACAATCCAATGATCGTAACCAGACAATGCAGTGACACGATAGGGCGTTTAATGATTTTGTTGAAACTGAAAACGATATATTAATACATCGAGATGTTGCTGCTTACAAGTTAAGAGAAACACTATGAAAGACATATGTGTGGGTGTAGGAGGTGGGTCGGGCAGTTAAATGTCTCGACCCAATCATATTTTATGTAGTTCACACAACATAATTGCTAAATGCTACTGAGGATTTCATTCCACCAGGAGAAACATTGAAGTTGTAAATTCATGCTGATCCATCCAAAGATTTACAAATATGGGTCCCGCTGTTTCGATCACTATATGTGACAATAAAGTGCGCCGAAATGTTTGAAAAGAGATATCGGTTAGCGAACCTACTGAAATTTCGTAATTTATACATGTGGGCCCACGTGTTGCTGTCACTATGACGGGCACAAAGTTGGCCCCTGTTACGGAAACTGATTATCAACACTAAGCCAACTAAAGCAAGCTTCGAGATTCACAGATGTGGGCCTACCTGTTATGATAACAGAAAAGATAAAAATATAACATATTCAAACTTTTTATAAAACAATACTGTTCACCTTAGGGATTGGAAGGGGAATAATTATAACCACCCACAACGTGCAACTTCATCATGACAAATGCCAATTGTGAAAAATGACGGAGATATCTCCAGTTTGTAATTATAGTGACCTTATTTTCCCCAATCAGATCCATCGATAATGCGGTGGCACAGGATACACACAGCGAAGGTCGTTTTATCGTCATAATTAGTATCAGGCGTATTTTAGGACTTTCGAATTCGTTATATTTCTATTCTTAAACGAAGGGCATTTTAATTTCTAATTCTAAAGGATCTTTAATAAACAAACAAAACAAATGAAGACACAATTCGATGAAAGCTTCTGAATCCCTATCAGACCAATTGTCGGGTGTCTGTGATTCTGTAAGAAGAAAAGGTAATCAAGGATTTACGTTTTAGCGACGTGACTCACCACAGTGCTCCTCGTCAGAGTAGTCACCACAGTCGTTGACGTAGTCGCAGTAGAGGCTGATGGAGATGCATCTGCCGTTGTCACACTTGTACTGATCGCGACTGCATTCACTATCTGGAGAAGTCCGAGTGGCACATTTCCAGACATACATGCAAGTGTAATTAACTGTATTGAACAGTCGTATCAGCCAGCAGCAGTGAATGTGTTGATATACATGCAAGATATAATACATGCAAATGAATATCCGTGGTTCTATGGATGTCTTATGAAACGCCATATAATATGATATATGTATGATTACTTTATCCCCCGCAAATGCACTCTGTCTGCCTTTGACAGAAGCCCTACACGTGTATCTACTTTGTAGGAGTGAGGGGAAATCGGGTTTAACGTAGCGTTCACGATTATTGCACTTATAATTATAGCGACGCACATGTGTGTGCGTATGCGTGTGTGTATATGTGCGTGCATGCATGCGTGCGTGCGTGTTTGCGCGTGTATATATATATATATATATATGTGTGTGTGTGTGTGTGTGTGTGTGTGTGTGTGTGTGTGTGTGTGTGTGTGTGTGTGTGTGTGTGTGTGTGTGTGTGGTTTGTTTGTACTAGCCCAGGCTATTGTCGGTTTTAATATTGCTAGCTCACTAAGATACCATGTCGCAATTTAACAAGGACACCCAACTCAGGCACAGAATACTGACTACGGTTCTCGTTTTATGCCCTTAACGCTGAGCGCCAGGCAGTGTAACAAGCACCATATTTTAACGTTTTTAAAACGCGGGGAGGGATCTCCATCACCTGGACCACGGAGGTAGTGAGGTAGTGAGGTAGTGAGTGAGTGAGGTAGTGAGTGAGTGAGTGAGTGAGTGAGTGAGTAAGTTGCGATTTACGCAACAGTTTTTCAGTTATATAAGTTTATCGTCAGGGAAAGCTAAACTGACGACAGTGGTAGACGTGTACAATTTCGGCGAAACCCACGAACACGTGTGTGGTTCTAAAATACCAAGGGTCGTAATCTAGGACTGAAACCCGGATCCTGGCTGCTGAAACACAAAACTCTGCGGTGACGTAAACATCTCGGCATGGTGTTGAAATTGAATCTTACGAAAATATTGTGTACACACCACATTCCTGCTCATCTGTGCCATCCAAACAGTCCCTCCTCCCATCACATCTCAGCAGTGAGGACACAATCTCGCCATTGTCACAAGCCATGTACAGCGATGTAGAGTGTAGGAGCTCATTGTGTTGAACCGGAAGGACGGGCACACCTTGATAGGGACGAGAATAGGCTTATACTCTTAAAGCTATAGTGTAACATCATTTCAGTTTAAAAACAAACATTTAAATAAATTGTGAATCATGTGTTCGGCAAACAACAAGGACGCCCAAGTGGCTGCTTAATTGCGTGTAAACAGTTATGTGAATATCTCGATCAATAATAAGTGCTTCTGGCTATCAAACAGTAGCAAATGGTTTGCCTGTTAACGCAAGTATTTTGAGAATACAGGAGCATAAACGTAACAAAGGATACCTGTTTGATTCCACTCAGCAAAAACCTATATCAAATTGACACTATCCATGAATTAATGGTGCCATCCTTCTACATCAAAAGGAACATCCAAGTGTAGTGATAACAACAGCATCAAAACATTAACGCGTCATTTGTGTTTGTCGTTAAACTTCCTGCACACTAAATCATTTAGTTTGATTTTATCATAATACCAACATTCCTGGAACATAGAACTTCAACGCCAAGCATAGCACGTCTCGGTTATCCGCCCGAGCGGATTCTATCGGGTGGGTGTAAAAGGCAAAATAGCGGTGAAAATGGTATGAATTACGGTGGCCCGTAACGGACATGGAGTCAGTTTTTCAATATTTTGATATTTCACTTACTTTTATCGTAACCTTTTGCAAATTAACACAAGTTGTAAATCATGTATAAGAACAACCGAAAATATGGAAAATGTACTTCCAAGTAGCTATTGAGTTTTAGTATTTCACATTTTCGATTTTGTTTTTAATATGTTCATTTTTGTTTTTGACATTTTCGCTTCACTTTTCAGCGATTCAATATATTCATTATACATGATTTTTATCACATGTTTGTATGACAAATCGTGTTAATTTGCAAAAGGTTACGATAACAGTAAGTGAAATATCAAAATATTGAAAAACAGACTCCATGTCCCTTATGGGCCACCGTAATGAATACAAAGTCATGTAGATTACCGAAAATCACAGGGTCAGCATCACCTGCCCTACAGGCAGCACCCGCCACTTACACAATTTGCATAATAAAAAGTAAGTGTTTGTTGCCTGACACCGCATAGAAGTACTTTTGCCATGCGACGGCGGCCTGTAAACAATCAACTCCTCATCAGACAATTCCATGATAGTGACCAGACAATCCAGTGACACAATAGCGGAAGAACTGATTTGGTTGAAACGATATTTTGAATTAAAGTTCAAGTGTGTTCAAGTGCACATATTCTCCTGCTTATAAATAAAGAAAACATTTAAGAAAAATGATCGTTTTACAAAACAGGGTGGGACAGTTTCGATGTGTCGGGTCATTTCCTTTCCAGATGAATCAAATGATAAATGCTACTGAGTTTATGTGGGACGCGGGGACTTCATTCTACCAGCAATTCAATCTACCCAGTTCAAGATAATGTAAAACGTTAACGCCAGAGAATAACCAGTCTCGATTATCAAACCAAACATTGACAAGATGATAAGGTTGTAATTGTTTCTCGGTCAATCGTCAATGAAGAGCTACATCGATGTTTGAAGGGAATATCGGTCAAGTAACGCGTTTTCACGTCGATCACGAGCGTGGGCTAGCGGCAATTTATCACCGCGGGGACGTAGTGGTTATTGTTATTTCGTCACATACAGATAGTGACACGGATGTAAACATGTGGTTGGAACGCCTACAACACAAGCTCTGTCAGAATACATTGACCATCTACGCTAATCAATGACCCATGTGAAAAAGCATTCTCGAGCATAGTTTACTGATAATAATGGAACAAGCTGTTCCCTTTTATTTAAATAGCGTCAGTTATTCAGTGCGATGGCAATGTGAGACGCCACCGGAATATGTGTTTTTACTAGTCGAATTGTTGATTTACAACTCGATTGAAATATCTCAATAATATTATACCTACACATTTATTATTATTTTCAAATCCTCAAAACTCTTACCAACAGATCGCGTCACATTTGTAGCTTCCTTTTCACAGATAAAGCCACTGCCAATTGGATCCCCACACCCGATGTCGTGCCATCCGGTCCTCCCTAACATAGCTGTACACATCTCGAGACGAGAGCCGCCAGGCTCAGTCATCATGTGGTCTTTGTACCTGTTGAAAAGTCAGGCTTAAAGAAGCGTAAGTTTTTAGTATTTAGTTGTTGTTTAACGCCATACTCAGCGATATTCCAGCTATATGACGACTACCTGTTAATACTCGAGTATGGACCAGACAACCCAGTGAGTTTTGGGAACAACGCCGTCGGGGTACGAGCACACGCTATTAACAGGACACCGCGCCTTACCACCAGACTCGTGTGATCGCCTCTTACGACCGACTGGCGACCTACATTGCTGGGGTCCACTTCTAAGCCCATGGGGGAATAGACGAATGAGGGTAAAGGGTACGCTTATAAGGGGTCGTTAATAATAAGGAGTCAGGAGTCTGGTGGTACATAATGTAGCATTTTCTTGTGCATGGGCTTGAATGTTGTTTCTTTAAGGTAGCAAGGGTCACAGTCGTGATCCAATAAACCGTCTCACACCGTTGCACCTCATCATTCATAGAGGTCAGTATCAGAGTGAGTGAGTGAGGATCGTTTTACGCCGCTTTTAGCAATATTCATGCAATATCACGGCAGGGGACACAAGAAATGGGCCTCACACATTGTACCCATGTGGGTCAGTATCAGAAACCTCTTAAATCCATATGAATTGTATATACTACAGATGTGTCAGCTTGTGTCATTGGATTTTATCTTTAAATAATTATCACAATAAAAATGGTTAATTAAGGTGAGTGAAGCCACATGATTGGTCAGGACAATACATTGGTCAGACACTTTGGCATAGAGAAATATGACGTTGGTTTTTAGCCTACCGCTTCCTGAATGTGAATGTACATAATGCATATGGCATACAGTTTATGATAGTCAAACATGACATCAGTTTTCCGCCTACCATTTCCTGAATGTGAGTGGTGCTCCATCCTCCCAAATAAACATATCTTTGAATATTCCAGGTTTTCTAGTGAACGTCTTCGTGAGACCTGGAAACACATCATCCACGAGTAACCATCTGTATACCGTGAACAACCAATGTGAACAGCTGTCCAAATCAATATGAATATTAGCATACATTTCAATTAGAGGCCGGATGAATATGACTTTTTAAAATTTCTGATCGGTAAACTGTTTGCAGTTAGACTACTACAAAGGGATTGCACAAAGCATTGAGAAACAATCATTAGTTTGCGGATAACGTATTTATCAAAGCAACTTGCAACTCTAAAATGATCCGACGGTTGATTGATAACTTCTGAGCCTCACATGGAATATCAACAAAAAAAGTAAGTCAAATGAGCAAATTGTTTCGCTATGACAAGTCAGTGAAAACTGGCTTAACACCAAAAGCCATACATGAAGATATATGTTACAGCACCGCACAAGAAATGAATGTTCCTTCCAATGCCACCGTAAAGATGATGGGCAGCAAAGTTTAAAACACCTCCTGGATGGCCTGTAACATCAGGAATGATCCAGAGAATCCGATATATGGTACTAAGCGGCAAACGAATGACTAGACGTCATATCGCTAGATCAGAAGGCATTTCACCAGAAAGAATACATTTCGTGATAATCTAGCTCTGTTTAAAGCTGAACCAGAAAGGTTCTTGCAACGATTTGTGACTAGGGATGAAATCTGGGTTCACCACTTCAATCCAAACAATAATCTGCATGTCCCTGATCACGGCACTTTCCTTAAATTCGTCCATTTTCTAAAGAACACAGGCCCCTGCTTATTTTACTTATTGCCACAGAAAAATATTTTGCTCAAAGATTTTTGTGGATATACATCTATGACATCATGTAATGTCTACAACAAAACATTTCACTATTAAGCAAATCCTGCTACGTGAGGCTTAGAACTTCCCAAACAAACCTCGTGCAACAAGAAACTGAAATATATCCACGTAATGCGCCAAAGTGTCAGAAATGTTCAGTAGGGTGACATGGTGACGAGCGCCCAAATACAGTCAGCTGTCCTGAAATAATGTTTGTTTTGTTGTTGTGAAAGGTATTTAAGGCGTAGAATACAGATCAGTATATAAACCATTAACTAGTTTGACAATATGTTACTTTAAATACTTTCTCTGAACAATAATCTCTAATCTAACTAAACTCTATTGATGTATGTAATAAATATGTGAACCTGTTCTTCAAACGTTGTCTAACCTGTAAATTTATATATTCTTACGTTTGACATTTACACGCACAAGTCGCTTTAATAACTACCTACCTATGTGGATATAATCATCTCCCAAAGACACAGATTCCAACTCCTCATTTTGAGACCTGTTCATCAGAATGCTTGAGACATTGATCAAATAGTTGTACTCATCCTCTGAACCAATACTGACCAAAACACTGCCCTTTAAACGACATTCTCGCCTTGCTTCCAACCATTTCATATTTGCCTTTGCCAACTCAATCCAATAACAACTTTCTTCAAAGTACCGCCAGTTGTCGTCGCATACTACAACATATCAAGTGAATACTGAAATCAAATACTGTGCGAAACTAATATTGAAAAGTAACTGTGCTTTATATATTTATGTAAATGTTGTGTAAGGAAAATAACATTGATGTTTGGTCATTCGTCTGATTGATGTTTTATCATAACAAATTCTTTGCGAAACCCGTACCTGGTAACATGAGACAGAGAAGAGTTTTGTAACATCTCAATTAACAATGTCAAGATCGGACGTTACGTCCGTGCATTTGCACAAAGGACAGAACATGGCAATATAGTCTACCCTATTAAAATAGCTATTGACAAGGGTAAGTTGTGTTCTCCCAAGTCTTTTGCTGCCACTCATTCCATGATACTTTTATCCAGACACTCACGACATTGGACTCATGTCGAACCTTGCACGACAATCAGAGCTGTCCAGATGAAACCCTGACTCATCTGTGAACACTCTGCTGTCCCAGCCTTGTCTTCTATATTTCAGATTCTGTCTACACCAATCTAGGCGTGCCTGACGGTGACGTGTAAACAAAATTCGGCTTATCGCAGGATGTCTTGGCCGGATGTTGTACTCCCTCAAACGGGTGCGTAGGTTCTGCTCAGGAATTGTCCGAACTGTTAATGTGGCAGTATCTTTTCGTAGATGCATCAACCTAAAATGGTTGTCTCGTTGACGTGTGGTCACACATGGACGACCGGCCCTACTGTAGATAACGTCTCCAAAGTCATGATATTTTCTTTTGATGTCTGGTTACTTGGTTTTGCGCCATGCCATGTTTACCCATGACGCGTAGCCGTTGAGTGTGAGCAAGCCATGGCATTGCGGAAGCGGTATTTGCGGTAAACTAAAGTGTTTTATGAGCACCTGATAACTAAACAATCAATATGTGTTGTTCACATAAAAAACCCACGTGTGTGTGTATCATGCTCCCAACAAACACGCAAACACCGACCTATAAGTTAAGGAAATGTCTTCATATATATGCATTTAAAGATGCATGATTTAATATCAGAACAAATACATCTTATCGAACTTTATATGAAGCACAGGTACATTTTCCATTGGTATATATCATCGTGACGTTTTTCTTAGCAGTTTCTGTGTAATCATATTCATCTCTTTGATCCAAGTTTTCAAACCGTTATAAAAAATGTCATTGCATAAGCAGTTCTATTGATAATGCTACTAAATCAATTTGAAGATATTAATGATGAACATTTTTTTAAATTATTGAACTGAAACGTTATATTAAACGCAAACAGAAGATTCAAGAAAATGCTAAATTTGTTTTGAATGTTTTATAAGATAGGTTATCTGTACTTACGTGCATTATTGTGGGTTGACGTCTTGGTCGTCAAAGTCATGGGCAGGACACAGAGACACGTGATAATGACAAATGGCGTCATCATTCGTTCACAGAGACTGAAAATTGCAACGATTGATCGAACAGTTTCAGAGCTATCTATTAAGTATAATAAATCAGTTGGATAAATGTAAGGTATATGTATTTCTATAACTATCTGTTAGAGTATGGCTGCTATAGGGTATCATATATATTAGTTGTGGTTTTGAGAAAACCTGTTATCATCACTATTTGATAGCGATTCCTCAATAGAATCGTACGTCTTTATTATTCAGAGAACTACTGCTGTAGAAAGAAACAATGCGCATTTGCAGGCGTAATGAAATTACAGTCAAATGTTTTATTATAGGAATGGGTGCTGTCCGCCCGACCGTCACGTTTCGTTTCCGGAGTAGAACTCAAAAACCATGAGAGATAGCTTAACCAAACTTGGCACACAGATATGTCTCGTTGTGAACTGGTGCCTCTGGATAGTATGGGATTTAAAAAAATATATTTTTCGAGTTTCCATGGCAACGACTTTGATGTAGATTATAATGGCGGGAGTGGTCCCTTCCGGAGCAGATCTTGAAAAACGTACAATCTTTCTTCGCCAAACTTGGCACAAAGATAGGCCCAGTGGTAAACTGGTGACTTTTGATAGTTTTGGATTTTTGAAAATAAATATTTATACTGAATTATTGCTTGTGTCTCTTAGGATATTTATAAAATATATCTTATTTCTTAAACAGGAGATTTTGAGGTAGAAAAGCATAAACCCCCTATATCTACTCTAAGTATCTGCTCAAGTTAACTGCCGGTCACACTTATACTCTACTACTACTACTACTACTACTACTACTACTACTACTACTACTACTACTACTATCCCATTGCAGTGGCGGCAGAAGGACAAAATATTATTGCGTGTACATATACTGAACCAAATTAAAAACTTAACAATCCTAAAATTTTAACATTTTGACAAGTTATCATTGTGGGCCCTTATTGTGTATTCAAACAGTAATGGCCACGTATTGTCTTCAGATAACACCCGTTTTTGTGCAGGTGAATCGATCAAAATCATGTGCACAGCTCTATAGTGGCAAAAGTGGTTTTTCACGTGCAACTGGTCACGTGGCCATAATACCGCACGTGTTTTCAGACATACTCGTTAGCAGTCATTAACAAAAAAAAGAAAAACACAAGAAAACAAAAGTCTTTACGGCCATTTGTCATGCCACGCCTTTCAAATGTGCAACGTGAACGTGCCATCGGCATGTTGCAGACGGGAACGTCCGTAGCTGGAGTCGCAAGGACGATGGGTTGTAGTCGACGGACTGTTTATGATTTACAGACGCGTCTACAGCAAACGGGTACCATCGCTGATCGCCCTCGGCCAGGTCGACCACGTGTGACGTCACATGCAGAGGATCGTCACATTGTCTTACGTCACCTCCGTAACCGATTTTTTGACGGCTACATCAACCAGAAATGAACTGTTTAGGGGTAGACTGAGTGCGCAAACTGTTCGAAACCGTCTGAGAACTGCTCACCTTCAAGCACGACGGCCATACTGCGGGCCGATTCTGACTCAATCACACAGACGTCAACGTCAATTGTGGGCACAGCGACACTAACGATGGACTCAGAGGAATTGGAATCAAGTCGTCTTCAGTGATGAATCGCTATTTAATCTTCGATTTGCTGATGGTAGGGCGAGGGTGTGCACTCTCTAGAACCAACCACAGAATTTGCAAGATCTTGGCACAATTTTGCAGCAACAATGGCGTCGTCTTCCCAATCATGTGTTCACAAGCATCACAAGGTCCATGCGGAGGCGTTGTGTGGCAGTTGTCAACGCACATGGTGGCAATACACGCTACTGAACTTGTGTGCCATCAGATTCTCGTGCTTGGGACTTATGATTTAAACTGTTGATGTTATTACCGAATACCGTAGGTGCTTGGAACAAATTATGGTTACCACCGTTAATTAAAATCCTTCTTTGGACATTAATGATTAAAATTACCTTGATACATTTGTCCGTTGTATATCATATATGGGATTACTTTTAAAAAAGTGAAGTTTTTAATTTGACTCAGTATACCTAATGACTTTGTGAAGTTGTCTACTTGGGGTGTATTGCAATTGACTGCTCAGCCCTTGGCGATAAGCTGGTGCT